CAATTTTAAACTTGATTAGTCTTTCTATATTGTCTCTTTTTTGGGCAACAGAAAATTAAAACTGTTGTATTGTCCGAGAAAATTAATGTAGTAATTGAAGAATTAAAAAAAACTGACATTTAGACCATAGTGTATAAAGCAAACTATCACTAATATATCATGTACATTTACACCCATTATTAAGGAACACCCTGTATATTCTACCTCTTGCGTCGCAACATTGCTATTTTCCACGCAATAGAGCTAAAAAATAATTTCTAGCAAAATTCAACTCGATGATGTAATGATCGCCAGTTGGACAAGCCCTCTACACATAAAAATCGACGAGTTTCCCATTCAAGTGTACACATCGTTTCATTTCTCGTATCTACTGACCTCACTCCAGTTTTAAGCTTCGATCAGTAAAGGTACCTCCGGTTCGGCATACATATCATTATATACCACTCCAAGTATGAATGAACGAATGCTTAAATGGGGGTTATTTTGGAAAAGTTAACTAACTTATATCGAAATCTCAAAACTTTTTTAGGTCTCTACGTGCAACGTTTTGAAACAAGAAATAAAAAAAGAATTTAATTTGTTTGAATCATAGTGGTGGCAACGAAGAATATAACGAAGATAAAAAATAAATAATTTGTTAAATATCATTAATACCACCTTATGGATCATTTAAAAATATTGTGCCCTTAAAAATACTATAATTTTTTTAATTTTAACAATTTTTCATATACTTTTTCTTTTTAAAAATTAACAATTATTTATCTTAAAGAAGAGCTGGGATTGGCTGAAATATTTTAGTTCTGAAGATATATATGAACAAATTAAAAACAACATTCAAAACGATAAGAAGTAATTACCAAATTTTATTCTTAATAATACCTAGAAATTCAGAGATTCTACGCAGTTTCACTATGTAAAAGTTGTTATATAAAGTGGCACCGTTAAAGTCCGCATTTTTATCATTTAGTTAACGCAAATTTGGAGTTTTTGCTTCAAAAAGAATAAAAAACGACGTTGACATTTTTATTTTGTTGATACCTGTCAAATTTGACATATTTTTGAAAAATATTACAAAATTTCGAAAGATTTCTTCTTTATTTTTTTTACCCATCTAACAAATTTGAATGAAATGGGACAATTTTGATTCTTTTAACGTTTTCTTAACATAACAATTTTTAAACTCATTAGATTTTTTAAAATCCGAAATGACCATTAAGATGTATTAAAAAGAACATGTTGTTCGTGTCTATCTTGTCTGTTACGAAATATTTAAATTTTCTTTGTCGAAACGTGTCGGAAAATATTTAATTTTCTTTCAGAAAAGTGGTTTCCCTAGAATTTTGCGGCGGGACCAACTTTTTCGACCATTTCAAAAAATTTCCTTTTTGAAAACATTTTTTGTTTCCAGAATTTTTCAATTATTTGACAAATTTTCCGGACAAAACTCAAAATTCACGTATAATACTCGGTGTTTCTCACAATCTGGCATATAAATTTTCTCGATATTTCAAATACATTTCCTAGGAAAATTATTAGGGGAAAATTTGATACAATTTATGAAAAATTTAAAATAAATGCGTGTTTAAAATTTGTCTATTGAATGGTATGGGTAAATTTAAAATTTTCCTACGATAAAATGGTTCTTCACCAATTTTGATGACAAATTCGTTTAAATTGGGTATATGGGTAGAAAACTGAAAAAGAAACACTTTTTTTAAAGCAAAAACTGTTGATGAACTTTAAATTTGCATTTGCATACAAATAGGAAAAAATTCTATATGATTCGGATTTTAACGGCGACACTGTATATTTACGGTACAATGCATAACTTTTGAGTAATTTTTCAAAAAACTCAAACTGGTTCTTTTTAGGCTGGACTAGGATGAAGAAAAAAACGGTTTAAACTTTGATAGTCTCTGACAAAGTATTACGATATAAGTAAATATATTAAATTTTATATGGTCTTTAAAGTTAAAAAAAAAAAATAATCAATTAAAAACTACCGTAAATTAATATATTTTAAACTTTTTTAATGATTCCACTTTCTACGGAAGAGTAGAAGGGCCACGATATATATTTTTTTCGACTTAGAAGTTGAAAAATTCATTTTTCTGAATTAGAACTCGGAAAAATTGATTTTTCCGACTTAGAACTCGAAAAAACTGATAATAATCTATTTTTTCCGAGTCTTAAGTGGGAAAAATCTATTTTTTCTAATACTAAGTCAGAAAAATAAATTTTTACAAGATTTAATTCGAAATAATCTATTTTACTGAATTCTAAGTCGAACAAATTGATTTTTCTGAGTTTTAAGTCGGAATAATCTATTTTTACGAGTTCTAAATAAAATAAAATCGATTTTTCCGAATTCTAAGTATAAATAATCTATATTTGCAAGGTCCTAGTCAGAAAAATAAATTTTTCTGAGTTCTAATTCGGAATAATTTATTTTTCCGAGTGCTAAATCGGACAAATCTATTTTTCCGAATTCAGTGTCGGAATAATCTATTTTTTTCGAGTTGTAAGTCGAAATAATCCATTTTTCCGAGTTCTAAGTCGAAAAAAATTGACTTTTCCCAGTTCTTAGTAGCAATTATTCATTTTTCCGAATTTTAAGTTGAAATAATCTGTTTTTCCGAGTTTTAATTCGAACATACCGATTTTTTTGGTTTAGAACCCGGAAAAATATATTATTCCGACTTAGAATTCGGAAAAACTTATAAGTCGGAATAATCTATTTTCCGAGTTGTAAGTCAAAATTATCTATTTTTTTGAAGGTCCTAAGTTAGAAAAATCTGTTTTTCTAAATTCTAAATTCGAAATATTTTATTTTTTCGAGCTAGAAGTCAAAATAATCCATTTTTTCAAATCCTAAGTCGAAAAAATTGGATTTCTCCGATGTTTTAGTAGCAATTATTTACTTTTCCGAGTTTGAAGTTGAAATAATCTGTTTTTCCGAGTTTTATTTCGGATATATCGATTTTTTTTATTTAGAACCCGGAATAATCTATTTTTTCCGAGTCCAAAGTCAAAAAAAATCTGTTTTTCCAAGTACTAAGTCACAAAAATAAAATTTTTCCAAGGTTTTTAAGTCTAAAAAATCTTATTTTTCCAAGTTCCAAGTAAGAAAAATAAATTTTTCTGAGTTCTAATTCGGAATAATCCATTTTTATAATCTAAGTCGAACAAATTAATTTTTTCGAGTTTAAAATCAGAAAAATCTAAGTAGGACACATTGATTTTTTCCAGTTTTAAGTGGGAATAATATATTTTTCGAGATTTAAGTCAGAAAAATTGATTTTTCCGTATTCTGAGTCTGAAAAATCTATTATTTCGAGTTCTAAGTCAGAAAAAGCTATTTTTCTGAGTTGTACGTCTAAATAATCGGTTTTTCCGAGTTCTAATTTGGACAAACCAATTTTGTTTCAGTTTTAATTCGGAGTACATTATTTTTCCGAGTATTAAGTAAGAAAAATCGATATTTCGGAATTCTGAGCCTGAAAAATCTATTTTTCCGAGTTCTAAGTCAGAAACATTTATTTTTCCAAGTTATAAGTCAAAACAAACTATTTTTCCGAGTTCTAATTCGAACAAATCGATTTTTTTTGGCTTAGAACTCAGAAAAATAGATTATTCCGACTTAGAACCCATTTTTTTCTGATTTATAAATCGGAATAATGTATTTTTCTGAGTTTTAATTCGAAATAATCCATTTTTCCGGGTTCTAAGTCGAAAAAATTTGATTTTTCCCAGTTCTTAGTAGCAATTCTTTATTTTTCCAAGTTTTAAGTCGAAATAATCTATTTTTCCGAGTTTTAATTCGGACATATCGATTTTTTTGGTTTGGAAGCCGGAAAAATAGATTATTTCGACTAAGAACTTAAAAAAACTTATTTTTCCGACTCCTAAGTCGGAATAATCTATTTTTTTCCGAGTTTTAAGTCTGAAAAATCTGTTTTTCCGAGTACTAAGTCACAAAAATAAATTTTTCCCAGATTTAATTCGAAATAATCTATTTTTCTGATTTTTAAGACGTAATAATCTATTTTTTCAAATTCTAAATCAGAAAAATTGATTTTACCAAATTCTAAGTCTAAAAAATTTTATTATTCCAAGTTCCTAGTAAGAAAAACCGATTTTTCCGAATTCTGAGTCTGAAAGACCTATTATTTTGAGGTTTAGGTCAGAAAAATTGATTTTCTCAGTTTTAAGTTGAAATAATCTGTTTTATTCCGAGTTCTAATTCGGAAAAATCGATTTTTCTGGCTTAGAACTTTGAAAAATAAATTATTACGACTTATAACTAATTTTTTCTGAATTATAGGTCAAAATAATCTATTTTTGCGAGTTGTAAGTCAGAATAATCAATTTTTCCGAGTTCTTGGTCGGAGAAATAACTTTTTCCGACTTATAAGTCATAAAATTCGATTTTTTCGAGTTTTAATTTGAAATAATCTGTTTTTGCGAGTTCTAATTCCGAAAATCCGATTTTTCTGGCTTAGAACTCGGAAAAATAGATTATTCCGACTTAAAACTCAAAGAAACTGATTTTTCTGACTTGTAGGTTGAAATAATATATTTTTCTGAGTTCTAAGTCAAACAAATAGATTTTTCTGAGTTTTAAGTCCTAATAACCTATTTTTCCGAGTTCTAAATCAGAAAATAATTTATTTTTTCCGAGTTCCAAGTCGAAATAATCTGTTTTTCCGAGTACTAAGTAGGATGTATCGATTTTTCCAAGTTTTAAGTCAGAAAAATCTATTTTCCGAGTCCTAATTCTGAATAGTCCATTTTTTCAAGTTCTAAGTCGAACAAGTGGAATTTTTCGAGTTCTAATTCGGAATAATGTATTTTTCCTAGTTCTAAGTCAGAAAAATTAAAAAAAGATGTGACTTTTCTACGTTTCCTCAACTTACATTCGTCCAGCCTAAATCGAATTTCTAATATTTCCATAACAAACATCATCCCAAACCTCATCCAGCTGGAAGCTATTCATCATCCATATCCTTTTACAGCGTCGCTTGAGGAGGATTCGTATCATTCCCTCCTCCCCCTCCGCCTCCACCTCCACCACCGTCCAGTCCAGTCTGTTTCAACCAATGCCGCAAGTTCCTAGTTCTCTCCACTAATGTCGTAGTAGCTCCTTGCGTAGCGTGCGTTACCACGGTACTCTGAGCGTTTGCCAAAGCGAGATGTTGCCTGTAATTGTGCAGCCGGTCAGCGAGAGTTGGAATCGAAGGTGGCGCAGCTGGTACGCTCGTCGTTGCCGCCAAAACCGGCCAACCTAAGTCTGGATAGACCAAGGGCGGGATAACTGGAAGTTTACATAAGATTCATATTAGTATGGGAAGTGATGAGGATAATCTAAGAGAAATTTTTAATATTTTTTGAGTTAGCAAAGAGTATAGTAATTATTAGACATTCCCGAAGGACTTGTCCATAATATCTACGAAGAAGTAGTGAAAATAAATCGGAATAATCTATTTTTCCGAGTAGTAGTAAGCTTAATCTATTTCGGGTCGTAAAAACTGATTTTTCCGAATTCTATGTCTGAAAAATCTGAGTTTGAGTTCTAAGTCAGAAAAATCGATTTTTCTCAGTTTTATGTCAAAATAATCTGTTTTCCGAGTTCTAATTCAGAAAAATCGATTTTTCTGGCCTAGAACTTGGAAAAATAGATTATTTCGACTTATAACTCAAAAAACTATTTGTTTTTTAATTATAGATCAAAATAATCTATTTTTCCGAGTTGTAAGTCAGAATAATACATTTTTTCGAGTTCTTAGTCGGAAAAATCTCTTTTTCCCACTTATAAGTCATAAAAATCTATTTTTGACGAGTTTTAACTCGAAATAATCTGTTTTTCCGAGTTCTAAATCAGAAAATTCGTCTATTCCGAGTGATTTACTATTTTTGAGTCGGTTAAAATATTTTAAAAATTCATTCCTTGCAAATATGTTGAACAGTCCACTAATCATGAGTTAGGAGATTGGCGCAGGGGAGAACATAGTTTCTGAGAAAAAGATGAATTAAAATACAATGTAAAAACAATTTGGCAAGTAATTACTTTAAGAATAATGAAATAAAAACTTTTGTAAGCTTCACATTTGAGTCAAATTCATTACTTCAAGCTTCTACAAGCTAAGGGGGCAACTCACTTTCTACATGTTACAGATGCAGATGTTGAAAAATGTTAAAATGACTCATTAATTTAGATCCTTAGTAAAGATGATATTTCTAAACTTTCACAAGTTGTACTGAATCCCTGTTAAGCGCTTACCAGAGAAATATTTTAGTAATTTAAAAAATAATATAGGAAATATGAAATATCTATTATAAGTTTGTAAATACCTTGCTGAATATTTGTATGCTGTTGCTGCTTCCTCAGCACATCCCAAATCTCCCTAATCTCAGAATTTAAATTCTCCAAACTATAAATGATCTCGGAACTCTCCTGAAACTTGTCTCTGTTCAACAACCCTTTGGAGTAGTCCCCAGCAGCGAATTCCGTCGAGGAAATCCCCAGAACTAGCGCTGTGAGACGAAATATCGCTCAAAGTTGCGTCTTCGTGAGTTTGGTCGTTTTGAATGTTAGCTCGTTGCAAGGATTGCTCGAGATGACGCAATCGAATGACTTTTTCCCCCAGGAGGCTGCGCGTTCGATGGAGGTTCACCTCCATGTCAGTCAGTTCTTTTTCTTCCTAAAATACGAAGGCCAATCTTGAATTAAGAGTTCCTGCGTCTCCTAAAATGGGTTGAAACTGTGCAATATGTGGTATTTGGTAAATAGTTATCGGGTGGTGATAAATCATTTCTTTTTGAAAGACTTCAATGATAAATAACTATAAACGAAGTTAGAAGAACTTCATGGTGAGTCTTCTCCTTCGTATGCAACATTTGCAAACTGGGTTGCTGAATTTAAACGTAGTAGAACAATCAAAGAAGATATATAACGTTCTGGTAGACTAAAAACAGCTACAGATGAAGAAACAATTAAAAAAGGCCATAAAATCATGATGAATATTCGGCGAGTAAGCATATTATACTAGTGCGTACCCTACACCATTTGGACATGAAAAAGATTAGCGGTAGTTGGATAGCGCATCTCTTAACTATCGATCAAAAGCGTATTCGAATGAGCATTTCTCAGCAACGTCTAGATATGTTCAAATGCAATAAAAAATCTTTTTGCGACGTTTTATAACTGTAGATGAAACTACACTCCGAAAACCAAAGACCAATTAAAATGGTGAACCAAACGTGGTGCGTCAACTCCAAAATAAAGTTAAGAAGATTCCAACTGCTGGAAAAGTGATGGTAACCGTATTTTGGGGATTCTAGAGGAATAATTTGCATTAATTACTTGCAACATGGAAATACAATAACAGATGACAATTATGCTAAGAAAATACCCCATCTAGCAAATAAAAAAGTCTTGTATATCCAAGATAATACTCCGTACCCATAAATATCGGCAATTGTGATGGCGAAACTGCAGGATTCCTGTTAATTATTTAGAATTAGCAATACTTTATATTTCGTTACCTGGCACAACTGCTGCAACGTATGCCTGGCCATCGTTCCGTGCTTCAGCTTCAACTCCTTCTGTCGCTGCTGGAACAAACTCTTCTGGCTTCGCAGACTCTCTTTGGCTCTCTTGATGGAATCCCGTTCCAAATGGATCCTGTGCCGGAAGAATTCCAATTCGGAGCTACCCTCGAACTTCTGGCCGTCCGAAAACGGGTATCTCAAGTGATAGGTGCCGGCCTGCGCATTATCCGGAAACTGGTCTTCTAGGTCTTCCAATTTCTGGAGTTGCCTGCGGAGGTTTTCGACTGGCGAACAGGAACGTTGAGGTTTTCGTTGTTTGGAGTTGTTGTTAATGCGGGAAGTAGAAGAACTTTTTAATCTAAATAAATAATTCAATGGAATTTAATAATGATTTTAATTTCGTACTTTTGCGAATTTGTAAGATTAGTTTTATTAATTTGTAATATAATAATCCGGCTCGAAGAACCATTAATAGATTTCAAAGATGATTTTCTGAGTTCTAAATCAAAAAAAATCTTTTTCCGATTTCTTAGTGGAAATGATATGCTTTTCCGAATTATAAGTAGGACACATCAGTTTTTCTACGTTTTACTCTAAGTATTAGGTCAAAATAATATATTTGGCAGAGTTCTAAGTTGAACAAATCGATTTTTCTAAGTTCTAAGTCATAATAATCTATTCTTCCGAGTTCTTAATCAGAAAAAATTATTTTTCCGAGTTTTAAGTCGAAGTAATCAATTTTTCCAAGTTCTAATTCGGACAAATCGATTTTTTCAAGTTCTACGTCGGAATAATCTATTTTTCTGGGTTCTAATAAGTTAGAAAAATCAATTTTTTCCGTGTTTCAAGTTATAAAAATCATTTTTTCCGAGTTTCAAGTTAAAATGATATGTTTTTCCGAGTTCTAAGTAAGAAAAATTGATTTTTTTCGAATTCTGAATCTGAAAAATCTATTTTTTCGAGTTTTAAGTGAGAAAAATATTTTTCTATGTTCTAATTTGGAATAATCTATTTTTCGAGTTCTAAGTCGGAAAAATCGATTTTTCCTAGTTCTACATCAGAATAATCTATTTTCCAAGAATTAAGTAAAAAAAAAAATCGATTTTTTCGAATTATAAATCTGAAAAATCAATTTTGTCGGGTTCTAAATCAGAAAATTTATTTTCCCGAGTTCTAAGTCAAAAAAATCAATTTTTTCAAGTTCCAATTTGGACAAATTGATTTTTTCCAGTTCTACGTCAGAATAATCTAATTTTCTGGATTCTAATAAGTTTGAAAAATCAATTTTCCCGAATGGTAAGTCAGAAAAATCAATTTTTCCGAGTATAAGTTATAAAAATCAATTTTTCCGAATTCTGAGTCTGAATAATCAATTTTTCTGAGTCCTAATTTAAAATAATTTATTTTTCCGAGTTCTAAGGCAGACAAATTGATTTATCCCAGTTCTACGTTGGAATAATCTATTTTTCCGAGTTCTAATAAGTTAGAAAAATCGATTTTTTTCGAATTCTGAGTCTGAAAAATCTATTTTTACAAGTTCTAAGTCACAAAAATTATTTTTCCGTCACACTGCGAACGTGTAAGATTAGTAATATGTGTCATTTTTATTAATTTGTAATATAATAATCTGGCTCGAAGGACCCAATGTTGTTAAAAATAATTTAAAAATAGGTCAAATTTTTTTTATTACAATTTACACAACGAACTAGAGTTGAAATTGGAACAAGTTTACCGTTACTGTATGTGAAATAAATATTTTAATTAAATAAACAATTAATTTCATATACAGGTTGTTAATTTAATATGTACAAGGAAAATGTACAATTCTAAACAAATGTCTTTCTCTATTTTTTTTGACAGACATTTTTGCTTGTTATTCTCTTTATTTTAGAGTTGGGTCTCTTATCCGCATTTGTAAACAACTCATATTAAAGTCTTGGGCTTAATATAACTTAACAACTACATAATGTTATTTACGACGTAAAACTAGAAGAAGTAATGAAAACCATAGAAAGAATAAAAAACAATACAATTCCTAATCGCGAAGGCTAATAGGAAGTAAAAAAGTGTGTTATATTCTTCAAAAGAAAATAGAACTATGGTAGAACTGTTAAACGTGTACCTTATTTATTGTTAGAGGGTATATTTCATCAAAACAAAGTGAGAAAATTACTATTTTACATCTTTTTTATAATGTACAAGATAACAATAATTAAATAAGAAAAACAGCGTATTCTTTCCTGCAAATTTTGAATTATTGTGGAAGTATTAATATGATATATTGAGAAATTTTTTATTATTTTTAATTTTTAGTATTTTATAAAAGAAAGTTGAACATTTTAACCCTCATCCCACAGTATTTTTGTATAATTATTTTTATATAATTATCTACGCCATTACATATTCAAAAAAAAAAAAATGTGTTTATATAAATACAACATTTCATTTACTTGATTTAAAAAAAGTTCGTGTGTTTGTAAATGCAATAATACCTTGAAAAGATCTTCTTTTTGCTTCTACCAGGATTATTACTTTCAGAACTGTCATTTTGATTTGTCTTATCATCACTATGGTAACAATTATCGCTAACGGAAGTATCAAAGTCTTGTATCACAACATGTTTGACGGTTTTAGGTTCTTTTTCTTTAAGTTCTTCCGAATTGGACATTCGGGAGTGCTTTGGCGTTGGCGGTTTATCTAAAACTTTTCTGAAACAAAAATGTATTGTAATGAATTCATTTTTGCAATCACTTAGGATTAATAATAATAAATAATGATAAATAATGATAAATAATGATAAATAATGATAAATAATGATAAATAATGATAAATAATGGTAAATAATGATAAATAATGATAAATAATGATAAATAATGATAAATAATGATAAATAATGATAAATAATGATAAATAATGATAAATAATGATAAATAATGATAAATAATGATAAATAATGATAAATAATGATAAATAATGATAAATAATGATAAATAATGATAAATAATGATAAATAATGATAAATAATGATAAATAATGATAAATAATGATAAATAATGATAAATAATGATAAATAATGATAAATAATGATAAATAATGATAAATAATGATAAATAATGATAAATAATGATAAATAATGATAAATAATGATAAATAATGATAAATAATGATAAATAATGATAAATAATGATAAATAATGATAAATAATGATAAATAATGATAAATAATGATAAATAATGATAAATAATGATAAATAATGATAAATAATGATAAATAATGATAAATAATGATAAATAATGATAAATAATGATAAATAATGATAAATAATGATAAATAATGATAAATAATGATAAATAATGATAAATAATGATAAATAATAATAAATAATGATAAATAATTTTTACATTTAGGAGTGAGTAATATAAAAAAAAATCTGTATAATTTTACTATGTTAGAGTGCATAAAATAAACTCCATAATAAATGTACTGGGTTTTAAAAAATTTAGTAATTAAAGTACCTAGTTAAAATTCTGAAAATCAATAGGGTTCTAAGTTAGAAGAAATTATCCACGAAAATCAAACCCGCATGACGATCGCATAGACATGTGGACGAAAAATTTGTTTGCTTTTTTTGATTTAGAATTTAAAAAGTGTTAAAGTGTTAAAAACTGAAGGTTAGAAAAATTTTACATCAGAACGAATGCAATACTAAGGCACCCTGGTTATAAGCCTCAGTAATAATGATAGTATTCTATATAAAACGAATTTAATTTTCTATTCCCTTTTTAGTAAATCTTTTTTAATAAAAGGCTCTTGCAAGAGCTTGGCCTGTTTAAAAGCCAACCACATGATAGTCTTCTATTGGCTACTTAACCAGTGACGCGTATTACGTAACAACTTCTAAAATTCTATACATGCCAGAGTGGGCTTTTAAAATGTATACGTGCCAGTGTTGACTTTAAAATTTTTATGATTAAGTTTAAATATTTGTTCTGTGTTCTGATTTAAATGTATTATGTTAAAGGATCTTTAAGACGGGGTAACTACCCCTTTGCCCCCCATGCCCAAACAGCACACATTATTTCAGAAGTGTTTCAGAAATATTTCAAACGTTTCAAACATATAACATTTCAAGCAGAAATTTCTAAAATATTTCTGAAGTATTTTAGTTAAATATTTCACTAGAAAATGTTTCTGAAACATGGTATACATGTTACACAAAAGGTTACTAAACTGGTTATGTTGTAAAAGGCCAACAATTAATGAAGAATTTCTGATTTGTAAGAAGAAGATGGGATATGTAGTTATTTTATTTCATCATGTCCCTGTCTAGCCACCAGCTAGAAACAAGCCTATATTCTAAATAATTATAGATTTGAGTTGTTGGTTTTTGATACCTATTCATGCGTTGTGAACTTGTTATATGGGAAGCAGAATATGTCTTTAGAAATTAAGGTGAGAAATACATAAATAATGCTTGCTTAGGTGGATCTTCATGTTTTGTTTAGACATGAGTATTGTTTTAATATAGTTAATTTAAAACAATATTAATAAAACTATTGTTTTTCAAATAATTTGTATAAAGCCTTTTTAATTACCAATATTTTGTTTCAGATTAGTGCATTTAAAGGAATTGGTGGAAATGAAGCAATTTGCCAATAAAAATAACATTCAAGTTATTCAACTTTTCCAGAATAAAGTATTAAGGAACATCGTCGATGCATCATGGTACTGCCATAATACTGATCTTCATAGGGACGTTAAAGTGAAAACTGTTGAAAATACAACACAAAAATTTGCCAGTAGTCACCAACAATGACTGGTCCAACATGGAAACCTTGAGATTATCAATACTTCAATCAAATACTTTTTGTTTTTCAAGAATTTTAATCTTTAAGACGGGGTAACTGTCCCCTTTGCCCCTCTTGGTGGTGGCCATCTATGAGCAATACTGGGGCGAAGTTAGGAATAGTAATTTATTATACCAGGGAAAAGTATTAGATTTTAGCTACAGGTTTTCCCGTTTATATAATACACTATTTTTTTGTGACGGGAAAAAAGATGATTTAATAGTGAAGAAAATATATTCTAAAATATCTACCTTTTCTTATGTGTATATATATCCGGGAAAAAAGTACTCACTTTTTTCCCGGGGGAACACTTTTTTTCCGGGAAACGGGGAGAGAAGTAATTTCATAAAAAGTGACATTTTGTTACCTGACAAGAGAAATGTCAAACTTTTTTCCCGTCACAGAAAAAAATAACTTTTAGCGATTTATAGGGAGCACTTTTGTGTTTAAAGTCTCAGATCTGTAAAATAGTGTTCCTTTGGATATGGCTGACGTTATTTCCTATTTAACCATCTAATAGAGTGTTTCAGATTTAAACAGACATAGCTTAATGGGAGGTAGAGTGCACTTGGCTGAGTTCAAAACATCCCCAAACTTAGCCTTTAATCTTACTCGTTTCTGAGATATAGGGTGTTTAATAATTTTTGTCAAAACTAAAATCGTCCAATGTTGTTTGAACGGCTAGAGATATTTTGATAAAATTTTGGTTAATCAAAACCATAATTTAATTTAAAAAAATTCCAGGACCGGACTCTCTTTTTTTATATTGCTCTTCGTAGCTAGAATATCACGCTGTATATCGGATTTTAATAAATGTTACTGCACATTTAAATAGTACGTGGTTCAATTAATAAAATAATGTAATAATATTTAAAGGCACCATCTTAATTTTCTTACAGTAAATTTTTATAATGGCGACTACAATATAAATCAGTATTTACAATATTAAAATCAAATATTTTACTCTGTACTTTTAAAACTCTACAAAAATTAGCTACCATCTTCATTTTTCTTAACTACAGCATTTTCCATTAGGAAATTGAACATCTACACAGGACCGGGCTCACTTTATTTAATAAAGTAATAGAACAAACTAACAGAAACAAATAATTAAAATTAAAGTAGATTTTCAAAATGAACACCGTGAACGTCAATACACCTCTGCGAACGTTTTAACAGGTTTTTCACTGATTTGTCAATTATTTTCGGTTTATTTCTAACTGGGCTTGGGTATTAAGTGTTTTTTTATAAATTCCACACCAAACATTTTATGTGTTTTCAAGTCGCTGTACTTTTTGTACATAAAATAGATACAAATTTAATTTTTTTTAACTTCTCCATACACTTGTTTCTGGTACTAGGTACTGCTTGTTCATTACTAATTCGTACACTAACAGAAAGATGATTTCGAATCATCTCATTCATTCCACTCTCCAGGTTCATCTTTATATTATATTTATATTTGGAAATTAAAATGAACTAAAACTTAAATGAACTAACACTCTGATGAAATCAAATTTAAAAGTTCCAAAACTAGGTATTTTATAAACGAGCTAAAAACTAAATTTAGTCTACTGCCAATATGCGCCAAATTACACCATCACTGATTCCGTCCTAAACATGATTAATGTAAAATTGTAGTACCAGTAGTAGAAGTACCAGTAGGCTTGTGTCAAATAATATCGCTTATTTTATTAACAGTATTTTGAGCTAAATTACTTTTGTTCATAAGTGTAAGTTTCTAATGGTATGAAAATAGGTATATCAGGATGCCGTTTCAATTTAGTAATGAAGAATATGCATACATTATTTTTATGTTTTTGTAACGGAAACGGTAGAGCATAAGTAAGAGAGTATCGCAGACGCTTTCCTAATCGCCGTTTACCAAATTCTAAAACATTGTTACAGTTTTTGAATTCAGTAAGCAAAATGGAAAGTTTCCAACTACAGTTAAACATGAACATGTTCCGAGAAAAAATCTTCGACAAGAAGAAGAGATACTACAGATAGGTCGAAATAATCCTTCTATCAGTGTAAAAAGAATTAGTAATGAATTAGCAGTACCTATAACAAGAGTATGGAAAACTTTAGAAAAAGAAAATTTGCATCCATTTCATGTACAAAAAGTACAGCGACTTGAACACGGAGACGACGTACCCCGCTTATCTTTTTGTAGATGGACTTTGGCCCACAGAGAAGGACAATATCGAGAATTTAATTTACTGATGAATCCCAATTTACACTGAAAATCCTCACACTGTATCACAAAAACATTCCCAATATAGATTTTCTATAAATGTATGGTGTGGTATTTATAAAAATCATTGAATAGGCCCTCATGTTTTTGAAGGCAGATTAACAGCTGAGGTTTATTTAAATTTCCTTAGAGACGTCCTGACAAATTTGTTAGAAGGGATTAATACCAGAGGAATGTGGTTTCAACACGATGGTGCTGGACCTCATTTTCAAATACTGGTCAGAGACTTAAATCAGAGGTGTACAACGAAGAAATGAATACCCGAGCACAGTTATTGGAAAAAATTAATAATGTATGTAACAACATTAGAAATAAACCTGTTAAAACGTTCGCAGAGGTGTATTGACGTTCACATTGTTCATTTTGAAAATATACTTTAGTTTTAATTAATTATTTGTTTCTGCTAGTTTGTTCTGTTACTTTATCAAATAAAGTGAGCCCGGTCCTGTGTAGATGTTCAATTTCTTATTGGAAAATGCACTAGTTAAAAATAAATGAAGATGGTACCTAATTTGTGTAGAGTTTTAAAAATACACAGTAAAATATTTGATTTCAGTTTTGTAAATACTGATTTATAATATTGTAGTCGCCATTATAAAAATAAATAAATATTATTACATTATTTTATTTATTGATCCACATACTATTGAAATGTGCAGTAACGTTTATTAAAATCCGATATATACAGTGATATTCTAGCTAAGAAGAGCAATATGAAAAAAAGAGCCCGGTCCTGGAATTTTTTTAAATTAAATTATGGCTTTGATTAACCTAACAGAGTGTAACTTTTGTACAAATTTTTATCAAAATATCTATAGCCGTTCAAACAAAATGGCCGACTTTAGTTTTGGCAAAAAATCATAAAACACCCTTTATCTCAGAAACGAGTGATATTAAAGGCTAAGTATGGGAGTGTTTTGAACTCAGCTAGGTGAAACACCCTGTATTTAAAAGAAGAAACTACAAAAATTATAACTGCTTACCTATCTTTATTATTAGAATTGCTCTGTTCAGTTTCGGACCCCGTGGTATTTGTCGTAGCGCTTTGTTCTTTCTTTCTGCTCCTTCTTTCCATCGTCGTTTTCACTTCCGTTTTTAATTTCAAATATTTTTCCTTCAAACATTTATATTTGTCTTCTAGCAATCTTTTTTCGCACCGCAATTTTTCGAAGGTTTTGTCATCGAAGGAACTTCGGTTTTTATCTTGGTCCATATCAGTCTGAATTTTGTTACGTATTTCGGCCATCTTGGATTGATGGGACTTTCTTAAAACTTGTTCTTCGGAATCGAATTGTCTTTTTAATTCTTCGATGATAATCGAATGATTTTGTTTCAGTTGCTCGACATCGGCGTTGTGGTTCATTAATAAATCGTCTCTAGTTCTTTCTGCTTTTTCGGCTAGTTCTTTTTCGGTTTCTGCAATTTTTTCGTCGTAATATTTCTCTAATTCTTCTTTCTTGCCGTCGAAATTCTTTTTTAGACTTTCCTCTTGCTTCTTAATGTCAATTTCTAAAGCAGTCTTTAGCATCTTTAATTTTTCGTCTAGTTGGGCTCTTTCTTCTGCCAGTTCCAATTGATGCTTTATCTTCAATTCGTCTTTTAATCGTTTCGTTTCGATTTTCATTGCATTATCATGCTTCGATTTTTCTTCTTCTAGTACTCGCTTTAATTCTTGTTTATGCGATGTTTCAATATCGCTCTTGAATTTAACCATCTCTTTGTTTTTTTCTTCCCAAATATTCTGCTTCATTTTTACTATTTTATTTTCCGCTTTTTCTTCCAGCTTCTTCGGTTTTTCTTCAGACGAATCGGAATGTTCTGTGTCAAAGAGTGCTTCGGGGTTATCAACGCCAGTTTTTTCTAAGCTGTGTGTTTCTTCATCGGAATCGGAACCTTTGTTTAAAGTTAATTTTGGTTTTATGAAGTCCATAGGATTTGGTTTGATTAATTTTAAAGGACCATTTCTTAATGGTTCTAATACAGGATGTACGGAAAACCTATTTTTATTGGGGGTTAATTTTATATTAAAAATTTCATCGGGTTTATTTTTGTCACTGTTTACTATTTCTTCTTCGCTTGAACTTTTGTCTGATAGAGTAATGCCTATGTCTGTGTTATTGTCCAAATTGAATCGTACACTTTTTTTATCGTCGTCTTCTTTTTCTGATTTGTCGAGTTGAGGTATTTTGTCGAATTCCAGACTTTTTGAATGTTCTATAGCATTTTTCTCACGCAAAATACTTCTTGGTGGATGTAAATCTGTACAGATAAAATATTGGATGTTATTAAAATTAAAATTTGTAACTAAATGTACTTACCCTGAGTATTATCAGTCTTTGTGCTAAGAGAACCGAGTCCAGCATCGCTGGTTTTTCTAACAGTATTCGATTTAAGAAACATGGAACCACCACCTGCAACTTTGAGTTCCATGCTGCGGGGATGTCCCGCAAAAGTCAGTTCTTTTTCAGCATCGTCGAAACTACTGAATCCAAGCGATAGTTTTTTCGGTCCCATCGAAAAGTCTTCTGATTTTTGTTTGAACAGTTTTATATCTTTTTTAGGGCTAGAATTAGGACTTAGTTTTAAGGGTGAGAGCCGTACGTCTTTTTTCTTTGCACCTGAAAATCGGAAAAATGTATCAGTGTTCAAAAATAAATCTATTTATATTCGATTTCCTTACCCAAAGGCAATGGATCCAATTTCTTGACCGCCGTATTGGAAATTGGTTCGTCCATACTAAGTATATCATCCGCCATGTACGTAGCATCTTCTCTATTATCATGTAAACTCAGAGATTGACTTTCGTTTCGTGCCTTCTTTACTAGACCCCTGTATATATCGTCCAACGGATGTTCCCATTGCGTCTTTTTTGTTAGATTGTTGTAGTAATAGTAGGATTTTGATTTATCATCGTAGCTAAAAATTAATTTAAGGTGAAAAATAGGAAGATAATGAAAGAAAGTATACTGTAACGTTTTTTTAAACACAATTTATTTGTACTAAATGCTATACTAATTATATCTCTTTTACTAATACAATTAATTTATCTGAACAGAACGATCTATTCACTAAGACTTTTCTGCTTTAGCAAAACTAGACTATTTATATAAAATATTAATATGGCTTCTAGAATAAAAGAAATCTTTCGACGTAATAATCGGCACATTCTGGAAAACACATCGATGAATCCATTATTTTCTAGACTGGTGCACCCACCAGAATCGTTCTCTCTAAAAATTTCGTCACGGATTCAGTATTTTCTAGAATTAGGCCATGGATAGCATAGGGGTTTCTAAGGCTGAGTTATTCGATAAATTATTCTTGGTAACGGAAAAATGGAGGCCGCAAAGGCTCCCAAATAAGGCAAAGAGAGACTTAAGGGATTAAAGCAGGACCGGACTGGTCGAAAATGGTTCGCAAGGTAATAATTTATCTAATATAAATAAAATTTTTAAACAAAAAAGGAAAAGAAGCTCATCTGGCACCCTCATTTTGAAAAACCCATAAACAAAGCCAGACTATCCCTAGGGAATATATTCGGCAAAGCGATCTACTGGACTTACCAAACCGTGATAAAACAAACTTGACTTTTTAAGTATAATCTATATGTAGATAATAAAATACCCAGACAGCACACCAAATCCTTTGGATATCTACTGAACATCCCAATATCCACTGAATGTCCACTCCATGATTGATATCCATTTTATATCCATGAGATATAATTTATAGACATGCAAATGTCTAAAATAATAGTAATTATATAGCAAATTATTAAAAAATTACGCCATTGTGGCTAATAGTACCGTTCAGATATTTAAAATGATTTTTTTTAAGGTGTATTCAATATCTCATGGACATCCACTAAATATATCAAAGTCTAGGCGCGAACGCAAACCATTGTGGATATTCACTAGATGTTATTTGATTTTGCTTACTAAGTATAGATGGCGATACCACTTTCGCATCTACTCATGCTCGACCCGCCGTAATTGAGTTCGATCGAAATTTTTGTCCTAATCAGACTCCATTAGAGACTGGAGTCGAGAATTTCCATTTATTGCTGAAGAGTCCTAATAAGGATGGCTTTCTCCTTAGTGGGCAAAATCAAAGGCAGAGTGTTGAAAATATTTTTTATCTCTGCTATTTTCTTTCGACGTTATTCAATAATCATTGGTTACATATGAACCTCTACTAAAGATACCCATAAAATATTTTGCTGAATATCCGAATATCTTCTATATCCTGGGATATAGACGGACATTTGGTTGGATATCCATATTGAATATCCACAAAAGATATTCTGTGGATATCTCTGGGATTTGGTGTGTTGTCTGGGTATTAGACGTCCCATAAGAAAAAAATGTGCTACATTTTTTGAAGTTAATAAAGAGTTTATAAAATAATATAAAAACACACATGTCAAAAAAACGAAATTAGAAAATACTTATTTTTTGTCATAATAACGTGTAGCGTTCACCCTGTATAAATACATTTTTGTTCCTCTATTTTGATACATAGATATGATAACAAAGGGTGGCAAAGGACACTATTGAGGGTTTCAAAAATAAAAAAGTATTGCGCGTAGATCAATCTATTATTTTTGTAACAAAATTATTGTCTACATTTCACAGAAATTATTTTAAACACTCTAAAATATACGTAAAATACATTTTATGAATAGTCTCATTAATATTAATTATTAAATAGTATCCATAGCGCGCGAACGTATCCAATATGAAGACTAAAGATAAGAAGGCGAATCGTTATCACAGTCGGTATTCTCAAAATACGGTCCCAAAAAACGCACGCTAATTGAGCTTTTATAATGAACCGCATGGGCGCTGGTACTGCTAACGGTGTTCAAAATACATGGCTTCTTGTGGGAATTATATATAATTTTGTCAAAATAATAAAAATAAACTTATTTATAGTTAAATAAAGCACAGAACATACTATGGTATTTATTTCTAAATAAGTCTTGCATGTTTTAATTGATAAATTATTTAATTTTATCTATATAAAATACAAATTCAAATTTGATAAGTACAATTTTGTAGCAAAAGTTTGTTGAATTAAATCTATATATAGATTTAAGAGCAAAATAAAACACAGTTAACAGATTTTTTATTGTTGTAATACAAGTATAAAGGGAGATTTGAGAATGTACATGGTATTATCTCATCCTTTAATTTCAGCTTTCCCCTTTTTATTTTGCTAACAGTACCATCAGTAAAAATAATCTCATAATATTTGATATCTACTAAAAAGTATAGAACAGCATCATCTCTAGAAAGTGCTTTATCGGCACTAGGAAGGATATATATGCTGCCACTGTTCTAAACGTTTAGTATCCTATAAAAAACATTTACATTGCCACAATTGGGGTTCAATAAAAAAATAACATTAAAACTCTATAAAAAATAAATTTTATTTTCTAGTAAGTTAAATTTAACGTATAATTATTATTGTTGTTTGTAAGTCAGGATCTATGACTGTAAAATTTTATATTATAGAAACTACACTCCGTAAGATACATATTGTGACTAGTTTACAATAAATATTATATTTAGACATACATTATTTTACTTACATTAGAAGCTTTAAAAAGACATTGAATTGATTTCTCCTTGTGTTTTCTTTAGTTTTACATTTGATTTGTATCCTGTTTTACAATCTGGAACGACGTAAATCTTGCTTTGATGTTTTTTGTCACTCATGTTACTTGAACTCAGGTACTTTTTTCACATTATTTTGATTGTTTACACCAATTTATTTAAAAAATCACTTCATTTTACATTGACTTACATAGAAAATTGACACCGCAGCTATTCGACATTCCACCTACAGTCAATTTCGCGAACTTTATAAAAATAAGGACGGAATTTTGAAAGTTGACCATTGCCGATTCGCCTCCTTCTCTCTAGTCTTCATAGTATCCAATACTGTCATTTTATAGCTGATAATAAGTCCAGAGCGGACCAGTGGAAGACTTAACAATACCTCTCCACATCATATCAATCTCTTACATAGCCGGGTCGCTTCGGGTGGGTCTGTGTCTGTGCACTGCTTGGGCTGCCCGTGCTTGTCGGCTTACCTCCCCGCGACTCTCTAACAAGTAACGCCAAGACACGTAGTGTTTGAGCTGCGTTTTTGCCAGATCGGCGAGCTTTTTTTATAGTCTGTCGCATATGTAATATGATTCGGTTTCGGTTTTATAGATTATTAGTTGGTGTTAATTCATCAGAATAAGACATGGATATAGTCTATAAGTTAATAAACGAAAAGATATTTTTTAAATACGCGTATGAGTATAATTTTGCTGCTAAAAAGGACCGCAGAATAGAATTAATGTATAAAAAGTAGGTGAATAAAAGCGGTAAAATATGGATGAAGCAGAATCTTGCAGAACACTCAATGTCTTTAACCACGGCCGCCACTGATTTACTGGTTTACCCATGAAGATTACAAAGGAATAAAAAAAATATAATTAGTTACAACAATGCAAGGGTTGTTCCAGGCTGAATTTTCGGTGGGGCCCATGCTAACAAATTCTTTTTTTTTTAATTTTTTACACGTAATTGTTTTTCATTAAGTTCGAAACTAGCCAAATTTTTTTTTGCTTGTCAACCGTAAAGATCATCATAAGGCAGGCGCATAAACTACTAGAAGACCTTTTTTTAGCTTCCCAAGTCCTACGTATTACTTTTGGCATTGTGTAAATAGCATTTTTTGCAGACTTTAAAAATGCTGACTCATGGAACAGCCTACATAGAACACTAGGCTAACATTGGTAGATGATGCCGATGACACCAATATTAAAAAAAAAATGAGCTATAAAATAATATCTATTATTTGTGAGACTTGAATAATATATACAAAAATAATAATCAAACCAGTTAAAAAAGGAATACGAGAAAAAATATTTAAATCAATCTTTTTTACTTATTTTTTAAATAAAATGACTCCTATAACAGGAGTTTTTTTATTTTCATGTGAAACAAGTTGTTAACCTTGATTCTTTAAAAAATGAGTTAGTTTTTATAATAATTATTTTCAAATTTCAAATGGAATTTTGTCTAGTATTTTGTGATCATATTAATTTCTTCAATTTTTAGTAAGTACCTATACTGATTATTGTTTTTTATTTAGGTACTTTTACGCTATGAATAAATATACTTAGAGATTTTTAACATTGAATAGAACAAAAATATCTAGAATATCATTAAGAAATTAAAAGTAGTTTCCAAATAATTTAGCCTTCGTAGTTATAAAGGCATTTTTCTCACTAATACACAAAGTTATATTCTTTTTTATTTAGTACCTACTTTTGGTATTTAGCGTCCTCATAGAATACGTAATTTATAAAAGCCTGAATTTTAAACTAAAAAATATTTAGTAGTCTACAGTGTTGTTCTTAGACAAAAAAAAATCGTAATAGATAGGCGCTCTAAAACGTAATAGATTTCAGTAAAACTTAATATATTTTGAGTAAAAGGTGAATAAACGTCATTTTAAGCTAGGATCACATACTTTGATTTTCTTTTACTATACGGAGAATGGTCGCACTGCGCAGCTTTCTGAGTGCCTTTTAAAAGGAGATAGAAAACTCCGCCATTTTGAACCCTTATTACGTGTTGCCTACATCTTGGCGCAATATTTTTAATAGGTGCGTTTTAATCATCCGCTTCTGCTTCGGAATTGTCGGTTTTCTGGTTTTAATCTGACAGGTTAAAACGACTGAACCGACAATTCCGGAAGCAGAAACGGATGATTAAAACGCACCTGATATTTTGCTTGCTGCTGTCATGCAGTGTCACAGTTTATTGCTAAAGAATCAGTTAGCTCACTCGGACCAGTTGAAAGTTCCAAAATAGCATCCGCTCCAGGGATACAAATTCAGGATACGCAGAAAACTGCTGTTTTATTATAGGCGGTTGTTATATATGGTATTATCTGAGTTGCGCAGTATATAAACTGGAACATTGAGATCAAAAGTGCTGACGCAGAGTGAGCGATCTGATTCTTTAGGTATAAACTGTGTCATAGGAATCAAAATGGCCGCGCCCTATGTTGGGCGTGTCGGACCTCTCCCTTGCCCCGTATAGTAATCAAAGTATGTGGCTAGGATTCATTTAAAATTAGGAGCGTGCGTCCATATTAAAATATACTTTTTTTTAATGTCACAAAAAAATCGGTCAGTAGTTTGTTCCAGACATAATTCAAACTGTTTAAGCATGCGGTCTGAGGATAGTATTATTTTTAAACTGTGCTTGCTTGAAATGTAAAAAATTAACTGTGCATAAGGGAATTTTCTCAGGCATATTTCTTGAATGAATAGTAATAAATTTTAGAGAAACGTAATAACGTAACATTTAAATCCAAAAAGTAATAGATTTATTACGAAAGTAATGACAAGAACAACCCTGGTAGTCTAGCATGGAGGAAGGATAAGTAGTTCAAACACTCAGTAGTCATAAAATCAAGGAAGTGACTAGAGGTCCGTCTAGGCGGACCTAGCGAAAACAACAGGTCCGTCTTGTCGGATACCGTTCGAAAAGGAAAGGTCCGTCAATCAGCTGTTAAAATTGTATATAGAAATGTAATTTCCATTTGAAGAGTACAGGGGAAAATAGATCAGAGTCTATTGTTGTTAAAAACCAACTAACACCGCCATCTTGCAGTTTTAGACCCAATTTTTCTGCTGGTACGGCCGGAGTTTGAGTAAAACGATCACAGTCTTCAGTTAAAATTAAAAAGGATACAGTCAGTAGCGGCTAGTGAACAAATATCGTGGATTCACAATGGCAGAATATAGATCTGAGTACAGATTTATGTAAAAAGCTTTCAGTGTTTTTACTATATTTTACTAAAACACTGAAAGTTTTTTTACCTAAATCTGTACTGAGATCCAGAGCTGGGTAATTCCTAGTTAAAAAGTAATTAATAATTTCAATTTTTTCATGTAATTTGTAATTGTATTTAAGTATTTTTATTTCTCAAAGTAATTTGGAATTGTAATTGCAGCAAAATCTGTGGATTGTACTTTGTAATTAGATTAATTATTTATTTTATTTAAATTGTCTAAATACAACTACTTGTCATAAGTACAATTACTTTTCCAATTACAATTTCATTTATAAGTATAATTATATTTTTTAATTACAATTATGTTTAAATACGTGTTTATGAGATGCACGTGATATAAAAAGAATAAATTTCCTATTTGAATCGGTCACTAGAGCTTGGACTCGCATCCATATCATTTGTTTGAATGCAATTGAGGAAAGCGTTGTGCCGTGAAGCAGTGAAATTGTTCAACCCAAAATAATAACAATAAGGGGTAGATGCAGATATCCTTATTTTTAAGATGTACTTTGTATTTATATTATTATAAACATAATTTATGTTTCATAAACATTATAAACTAAGAAAATATAGTATGAAGTGGTGGAAATAGCATTTTTTATTTTTTTATGGGGTTAATACAAAAAACTACTTATTTACGTTGCGTAGGTATTTCTAGTTTTCTACATTGAAATGAAGGATTAACTATTTTAATAAACGTATTCTAAGTTACTTTAGCGTTACAAGTATTTTATTTTAACATAGAAAATGCAATATTTTAATTAAATTAACAGCACTTGTAACGGAATATAAATATATTTTATGTTACAAGAAATTATTTGATGATATAGATTTATAAACAAATTTGAGTAAAATGTCTCATTTTTGTTTGTACGAACGAGATACAGAACGATATATTTAAGATTATTCAATTTAATTTTAATATTATGTACAGGGTGATTCATTAAGGGTGGCGACCGGCCGTATCTCAGAATATCTTAAAGTAAAGTATTTTTTTGAAAAGAACGCAAAAACAGGTCGATTTTTATTTCAAGGGGGACACCTTCCTATAATATCCTCAACTATTATATATCATTCCTCTCCCCAACGTCAATCTAACCAATACCAAGTATTACACATCGTCAGAAAGGTAATTTTATATGGAATTCAGCAATGTGACTTTTATTGCGTTCCTTTTAATTTAATTTAATTAGAAAATTATTACCTGTGGTAAAGTGTGACACTTCATTTGAAAGCTAATTTTATTAGTACTAACGCCAAAGATATTATAAATAAAGACTTTTTGATTTCAATGAAGGTGTAACACCTTTGGTTGTACAAAAAAATGGGGTACAGTTAGAAGTGTTACAATATCTCGATGATTTAAGAAAAAGTATTACGATGCTAGAAAGCTGCCCCTTGATGAGAAAAGTGTTTTTTAAATATAATACGACACTTCCTTTTTCTGGGCCCGTTGAGAGATTATTCTCCTTTGCCACAATTGTCAATGCTTCGAGGAGGGCATGCGCTGTCCAACAGAAATTTTGAAAAACTTGTTGTTATGAAAAGTAACAAACATTTTTTGAATAACTAGATCTTGCAAATCAAGCGTCATTACGTTTTGCCTGCTTGATGAAAAGTAAAAATATTAATAATTTTACACCAAATATGTTTCTTACCTTATGTGGTCTACTCTTGTTAAAAAATATGTTTCACGGGTATGATATTTGAAAAATTAGTTTTAAACTTTTATGAAGTATTCCAAGCTTAAACGACAAAAATAAAAAGGTATCACATTATTTTTGGCGAGAGTTAATTACCGCACCGAATGTAAATAAAATGTTTAATTTTAACTATTTTATCTTTTTGATTAAACAGCCCCAGACCAATGATGCCCGATTTGTATGGTATGATTAGATAAAATAGATAAGTGCCTATGCGTAGGTACACGAACTTTTACATTTTTGTTCCAAATCAATAAAAGTTTACATTTTATTATTAACTTATCTGTTCCATTTTTATAATACTCATAGATTTTGTCTTTTCCCTTAAATTAAGAAGACCTTAAATGGTACAGAAAACAATACACTTAGGGCTGGTTGTATAAAGCTTACTTAAAATTAAGCTCAGTTTTAGCTGATACATGTCAATTTCCGATGCTATATGTGCAGTCTAATGTTTGGGGAAACAAGACTTAAGTGTTAAAAGGTGTTTAGATACCTATGCCATACAAAATTTGTCATGTGTCACCTCAAATCGAGTTTAACTTTAAGTAAGATTTATACAACCCGCCCTTAAGATATCTTTAACTTTAAGGAATCCTTAAGGAAGTCGTTGCAAGCGGCTGTTAGTTTGACACTTTGAATTACCTATTTAAAATTTTTATTTGTTCCGGCCCGGTTGGTTCATGGTTCCTCAAATCTATCATAATTTGTTGTTTTATTGGCAAAATAATTAATTGTTTTTCTTTTATACTATCAAAAACACTATTGATTTTAAAATCCAAAATTACTTCCTCGAAACATTCAATTTTCACTGATAATGGCGACACCTCTCAAAACAGAAATGGAAATTACGAGGTTATATTTCTATACACAATTCTAATAAATATTCAAACAGCTGATTGACGGACTTTTTATTTTCGAACGGTAACCGCCAAGACGGACCTGTGTTTTCGCTGTGTCCGACTAGAAACTGGACGGACCTTTAGCCACTCTCTAAATTTATTGTCAAAAATGTTGAGGTTAGGTTTAGGGTAGGTTACTTGCGATTTGTGTTGATAAAAATTAAAAATAAATAACAACCTTAATTTATCAAACTTTTCATACTGTAACTTAAATTTATCTAAATCAGATAATGTTTCAGGGTTTTCAAACGCGAAGTTTATAGTTATGAAGTAGATTCAGAGCATGCATAGCAGAATTATTTCTCCATATAGTAGGAGAAAAGTAGAATATAGACGTCAAAAGACTTTCGACTTTCACTTAAAATGAGTAGGTTCCTAAAATATTTTAATAGGTGATGACAGAGTCACATCGTTTACTGAAAAATCTACTATTATGAAGATTAGAAAACATAAATAATTCATATTCTTTATGTGTGATTTTTTGGCAGGTATGTTTGCGAGAATTTCCTTTTATCCAACGTTGGTGTACAATTTGTTTATGGAAAAAGTATGTTCGAGACAATGGTACAACAGAATAGATGATGTAGTCATTTTGGGGGCCCTACCGTTCCCCAGTGTAGCTAAACAACTTATTGAAAAAGAAAATGTCAAAGGTACCAATCTTAAATTTAAATTATATAAACTATTGCACCATAAACAACAACTTAATGTGAACCACAGGCTCAAGGGTCCTTCAGGCGATGGTTTCAATAAATAACATTTATTTATAATTCGTCCAAAAGCAATAATGTTAGATACAAATACATTGCACAAAATGTAGAGTACCAAGTGTAAATACAAAATGGTGTGTTTATTTACATTTTATTAGTATAGAAAACCACCTAAGGATGATATTTAAATGTGAAAAAACAAAGTATAGATTATTTTTATAAAATAGTGGATAAAAATTATTGGAACTCTTAATGAAAGTGAAACTGAAGAAGAAATCACTCGTATATCTAGGTAATTCTGTATATCTAGGTAATTCTGTATTTAGTAAACACATGTCTGTTTCAAAGATTTTTCTAAAAATTTTGAATTAAAATTTATGTTTAAAGTGCTAATTTTTCTATGACCTTTAAAATGGATTATGAAACAGATGATATGATATGTGTCATTTGACATATATTATTAAATTGGTCTAAATATTTGAGTAACTTGTGTTTCAAACTACAGTAAAATATGAGAATAGTTAATATTTCTTTATACACATCAAAATACAAAAATTTTATTAGTAACTTTCCACTTGTTATTTACCAGTTAGGTAAAAAATCAATACATAAGAATATCAAAAACAAAAATGTAATATGTATAAGGTAAGGTGTATGTCCCTAGTAATTATTACAGGGTAATGTACCTTAGAAACCACTTGGCTTCAAAAAAACAAAAATTCTCATAAAACAAAAGTATTTTCAACTTTCTAGGTTTGACATTAGAGGGTGGTAATGCAAAAAAAAAAAATTTTCCTGTAAATATCCAATAAAATAGTATGACAATAATGAAAGTGAATAGTGAATCTTTTTGTTTCCTATTTTTCATCAATAATATTTTTCCTACTCATGAATTAAACATAAATAAGTTCAAGGTTGACGTTCCTTAAAGGACAACTTAAGCTTTGGTCCTGATGGACCTCCAGCATCTTTTTTAAGAGATGTGCATATTCATTAAGTGTACTGTGTGTAATGTACAACCAGTCAATGTCTTAAAGGTTATTTTCTCACATTATGGAAAAATAAATATGTGATTAGCTATCCTAAATCCATATTGTGACTCCGGTAAAATATTTTCACTTTCTAGCCAATGCTCTAGTCATGAACAGCATGGTTTTTTCTCTGGAAAATCTAATATAATGATATCATTAATTCATTTGAATCAAGTATACACCATTTATGTTAACTAAGGTTGTAAACCATGATTTTCTAATTCACAAATTCTCCTATTATTGTTAAAAATGATAATGTAAGCCTTAAAAAGTTTAATCTTGTCAATGTTGATAGTTTAAAGGAAATTGTTTTTGAAATGTCAAATAAACGAAGTCTAGTTGAAATTAATGTACTGTTTTTAAAAAACTGTTTCGAAAATATTGCTAATCCATTGATAAATATAATAAATACCTCCTTAGAAACTAATAGAGTTCCAGACGACCTAAACATTTCAATAATAGCACCAATAGCTAAGATTGAGAATTAATGTTATGTACAGTAGTACATTTTTTAGAGAAATATGTTTTGAATGACTGGAGACAGAATCTTAACAAATTAATTACAGGTGCTCTTTTTTAGACCTACAAAGAGCCTCTACTCATTAAAAAGTTTTGGTATTATTGTAAATGCACTACAATGGCGTATAACTTACCTGGAAAATAGAAAACAAAAATTAAGATTTAAAAATATTTTATCAAAAGAACAAAAAATGAATTAGGCGTACCCCAGGGAAGCGTATTGGGCCCATTATTGTTTCTTCTATATATTGATGATATTTCTCACATTAAAGTAAATATATGCTTGGTGCTGTTTTAATTCATTAAAAGTAAATAATAATATTACCAAGTTTATGATCTTCAGGAATGTTAGGTATTACAATTAATTTACTGAAAATAATATGGAGATTAGTTTTGAAAATTATTTTATTGAAGTTGTAAAAAAAATACCTGGGAGTAATAGTAGAGACACAGTTTATTGCTGGAGAATCAGTTAGCTTACTCGGACCAGTTGAATGTTCCAAAATAACATCCACTCCAGGGATAAAAATTCAGGATGCGCAGAAGACTGCTGTTTGAATATAGGCGGTTGTCATATATTGTATTGGTTATGATTTGATTCTGTATGCGCCAGGGATACAAATCCGAGTTGCGCAGTGTATAAACTGGAACATTGAGATCAAAAGTGCCGACGCAAAGTGAGCGAACTGATTTTTTACCTATAAACTGTGGTAGAGATCTTATCGTTAGTGTAGAGCAAAAAGGGATCAAGCGCCAAATACAAAATGGTTCAAGACATCAAGAAAACCGCCATTTTGAAAATTACTATTTATTTACAATTATTTATACTGTTCCTGTATACATGAGTTTATGTACAAACTACGGTAGCCTAGGTGTCTACGGCGCGGCATTCATTTGCGAGCCAATTTTCTGGTAAAATGAGACACGGTTTCGAATCCTACGGAAGACCATGTGAATTTATTTGCATGGTTCTCTATAGGATTTGATGGATGCCGTACTGGCAGAAATTTAATTTCTGTTGATATGACATCCAGATTATTAAAAAATCGCAATGCATTACCGTTTTTGATGATGGCGGGTGGGGTTTACCCCACTTGTAAGTCAAATGGCACCATCAATCATATTTAAGTCGCCCCTGTAAGTAATAATAATAGCCGTCCCTTTCCCCGGACAAACTCAGCTTTTGGGGTTAAAATTCACTCGGGTGAATTAGGGAGAGTAATATTATTATTATAATAAACATTGTAAGAAAAAATACATTTTGACATATTAATTTTAAAGATAAATATTGGATTTTAGAAAAAGAATGTCACTTGGCCCCTTTATGCCTTTCTCTTTAGTGAAAATTTTTCAAAGTATTATGGAATTCTAAATAGTTTGTCTCTTCATTTTAAATGTCTATGCGCTCTTTACTCCTTTAAATCTGTAATCAACAAGATCAAAACATTTTCTACATAACCTAACTTGACAGAGCAGTGCCATTTCGTAAGTGTAAGGGCCGATTCCACCGTTGTGTAAAACGGAGATTAAAATGACATTGTTAATGTAAAAATGTCATTTTAAACTTTGTTTAACACAACGGTGGAATCGGTCCTTAGAGACAGATCAAAAAGTTTGGTGTTTGGCACCTTTGTCCAAAATGTGCTAGATACTTGGAACCTTTCTGTCGTCATTCTTATTTAAATGTTGGCGCTTGTACTCTCGGCTATCTCCTTAATATGACGCTTGTCACCCTTTTACACAACGTTAGTTGGGATTAGAGGATGTGGCTATGGCAAATATCTCAAAAATGGCTCCATTGTCGCTCGGTCCCTGTTTGCTCTACACCAGCGATATGTTGTTTTTTAAAGATCATGCAAACTATATAGTCAAAACAATAGGATTTAAAATCAACTACTTATATCAGTATTCAAAATATCTTAATAAATGGTTATTGATTCTTTTATATAACAGTATAATTTTGCCTCATTTCACTTATTGTGCCATTATGTATTTACCTACTTAAACAGAATGAAACCAACAGACTTCAGAGTTTTGCAGGGATCATATACGGGACCACTGCTTTTCAACGTATTTACTAATGACATATAGGTTCAATTTTCAAATATAGCAAATTTTTACTGTTCGCTGACGACTTGAAATTTTATTTGGGATCACTACTTTAAAAAAAAAATGTTATAAACGTCGTAGCACTTATAATTGGCTGTTTGAACACTGACAATTTAATTTTCGACATCCTCTCTGAAGCCAGATTTACCCAAGATACTCTATGCCAAATTCTAACAAATACAATTTGTAAACAATCCAAAGTTTTAGGTGAAAATAAAATTAAAAAAATTGTGTAGGTAATATTTAATTTTTGATACATAAAAAACAACTTTTAATCCTTTTTTCTCTTCTTTATTTACAATGATATAAAACATTAATAATTGTATATGATGAATAAAATAAATTCGATCAGTATTTCCATCTGGTGAGGGTTGAAATGGTACAAAGCAAAAGGATTTAAATAGATACATAATAAATTATGAAAATAATTTTAAAATACTTTATATTTTTTTTTTTAATTAACAAGAAGTTTTGATTGAATCAACCATTTATAATATTAGAAATGCATTTAACTGTTTTATTTTTAAGGTGTAATCTCAATGAATGAAAGCTATGAACTTTTCTTGGCCAATGATTCAAAGGCCTGGGAAGCCCTAGGAGTAGAATTTCTGCAGCTGCCAACCACAGACATATTCGCAACGCCCTGTCAAAATAAACTCATTGAAGGAGTTGAATTTATAAACAAATTCACAAAGAATAACAAAATTATAGATGGTAAATCAGAAAGCTCAGTTTACGTACATTGCAAAGCTGGTAGAACAAGAAGTGCTACTTTGGTTGGATGTTATTTGATGCATAGGTACCATTGGACTCCTGAAAGGGCGATCGAACATATGAAAGAGAAAAGACCCCATATTTTAATGCACAGTAAGCAATGGGAAGCGTTACGAATATTCCAGTGTAATTTAAAAAACGTAAATGTCTAGGTAATAAAAATAGTTTACTTAATGTGTATTTGTATTATTTAAAAAATGGTCTTTAATGTTTTCCTTTAGATATTTATTATAGTAAAACAGAGTAATACTAATAGTTTGTATTATTATACAAATAGAAAACAAAGAAATATAAGTAAAGCATCTATGGATTAAATATAAGTTAATTATATTGTCAAATTGTCCCTTTTAAATGTAAAATATAATTTTTTTTATCCTAAGTGTCCCAAAATTCGTCCCAACGGTTCCTGGTGATAAATTATGCAAATTGAATTATATTAATTCATGTTTTATTACACTATAAGGGTATTAAAAGGTACCTTGCTACCTTAGATTTGAATCTACCCAAGGAATTAAATCTTCTAAATATTTTGGAAAGTTTCTAATACAAGCGGGTTGCCTCTTAGAATCCACAGAAGAAGCCACCACACGCCAAGAACCTCCGATTCAACCTCTCTGTTGAGCTCTATTTCTAGTGCACTAGGTTTATCCAGCTGGACAGCAGAAGTACCTTTATCCATTTCTCGATGGATCTGTATGTGACTATCTTACCATCGGATGGGGCCACTCTAACTTAATGGCCCCGTTGGTTCTACGATACTAGAAAGTAAGCATTTTTGGCCTTGGACAAAGGATCTGCAAAATACAAGGTCTTCCTCTACGAAAAATCTAACTAGTTTGTTTTGAATTTGTTTTCATGAAAAATTTCGACCCATCAAGAGTTCTACAGGAGATTTACCCGTGATTCCATGAGGTGATATGTGTTGAGATATCTCAAGTAGTGAGATACTTTCAGGGAAATATCCCTGGTTAATTTTTTCAAGGCGTTTTTAACATTTTTTACCATTCCTTCAGCTTGTCCGTTGCTGCTAAGATGATGAGGTGCTACAACAGCTTGGTGAATACCATTGTTTTTTAAAAAAATCTTTAAATTCCAACGACGTGATTAATGTAAGAAATAATAATCTGTATCAGACAGAGCAGAAGTATTCTAAATTAGACCTGACCAAAGTCGGGTAAAGCAATTTAAATATATTAATTAAAAATTGTCTACTGTTCTTCCGAACAACATTTTAAATTTATTACTATTGAAGAAAAGCTTACTGCCCATAATAACGGACATTGTCTTTAGTTTTTAGCACAATTATTAATTCTCTATGAATAGTGAACTTTTTAATATTTAAATACATTTACACACACCAACGGGACAATTTAAATCCTCTTGTAGTAACATAGTATCTGTTTCATTGAAAACTACTCCAAATATATTTACATCATCAGCTAACATGAGATTTTACGTGTTACAGAGAACAATAGAAAGATCATTAATAAATAAATTAAACAGCAACGGGTCAAAATGAGATCTCTGAGGTACACCTGATGAAACTGTAATTGCTTCCGATTTGCAGTTGCCATATTTAACATATTGAATTCTGTTACATAAATAACTGTCAATCCAATAATATCTACAAACCCATATCCTCTTAGTTTAGTAATTATTATGCCATGGTTGACTCTGTCAAATGCTGTTGAAAAATCAGTACAAACAGAGTCAACCTGACAACTCGATTCCAGGGATTGTACGATGAAATTTGCGTTGAAAGGGTGATAAATTTGCGTATCATCAGCATAGAGATGCATTTTACTAACTTTTGTGATTGCAATACTACAAGTGTACCGGGTATATAAAAGGGGTTCTAAAATGGAGCCTTGTGGTACATGTGTTGAAATACTTAAACTGGATGACAATTGCGCCCCATACTTTACTCTTTGTGATCTATTAGTATGGTATTTCTTGAAACAAATTATACTGTTGCTAATGAAGTTATTGACTTTGGAATTGCAAGTTGTAAATGGTGTTATACGAGTGGTAATTAAGCATTGTTTGTGGTTATAATTTGAAATTTACTTAACACAAGGCTCTAAAATGTACAAAATTCTTTCAAAATTACATTAATAGTAAGTATACAGTACTTGTTATTTTGTATTAGGCATAGACGTTCTTTCACAGCGAACATGTGGCAACTGCGATATCCCCGCTATCGCTATGCTCTCTAGCTTTGTGACTCACATTCGGTTCGGCTAATATCCCACCACCATATCTTCTAATTCTAGTCGACGACTGGCTGTTGCCCTGTAGCCATTTTAACTAGTCTTATGCCGAACACGAAAAAATAAGCACTGTATTTTAATTCTTAATGTCGTTTAATGATGTCTACTGTAGTTGAAGGAGATTTCCACGAAATTACGAAATTTATTTTGCAGCATGACAACACTGTAAAGCAAGCGACGTAGTCGTAAGTGCTGATTAATTCATAAAACGCTTGCTCGCAAACATTATCCCAACTCAATTTTAGTGGGTGTCTCTTCCTTTTTAATGCGGCAGCTATATTTGCTTAACATAAAACATAAATTAAATACTTGCAATTTAAAAAATGCTTATTTATGAATGAAAGGTTTAGTCTCTATAGTTGTTCGTCTTTGTGTAAAAAAATTAACACGGCATAATGTAACTTATACCTAGCATAGCCCTAGGTCACATGATTTAGCGCTAGGTAGGTAACATGTTTTTTGTGGTGATTCATTGATTTAGATGAATTAAATGAAAATATTCAAATGTTACAAATTGTTTTCAAACTATTAATTAATTTAAGATTACCTAATGGTATTTTATCGTATTTTTTATCTTGATTGTTTTTATAATTGTTTAATTTCATAATTTCCCACTAATTGTAGCATTAAATGATTTAATGATATTTAAAATTCTCGTTTAGTTGCCTTGAAACACACCTCTATCAAATTCAAATATATGTTTTTATGTATTTGCAATTTTATTCTTGCATTCGGGAAAACTGGTTGGTGAAGTCCGACCCTGTCGTATCGGAACGTTTATTTTGTTATTCGTTCTGGCTACCAGTCTCCATAATTTAGGCAAGATTTAATCTTCACAATCATAAAAAGAAGAATCATTATTTGACAAAGATAACCTAAAAATGGAAAAGATATGAATGCATTTTAATTTTAATGTTGAATTTCCAATTATTTTTAAAACCCGAGTATAGGTAGTAGGTAATTTGTAAATACGGTTTAGGTAATGCTTCTTAGGACCCAAACAATTTTACGTAGATTTTTATCATTAGCAGAATCCGCCCCAAAAGGAAACGTTCAATTGCCAAACATTTTACCAAGAATGTGCGATACAAAATCTTTTAAACGAAAATACGATGGCAGATCAAAGAAAAGACAGTGGGAAGAAAGGCGTTCAGATAAAGGAGAAGGAATTCGCGGAGTAGTCGATGATCCGAAAAAGACTAAAATCGAAGAAACTTCAGAATCAATCGCAGACAAAGATAAAATAAAACGTAGGAAATTTTGCTTTTTATTAGGTTATTCTGGTAATGATTATTTTGGAATGCAAAGAAATCCAAATACCAAAACCATCGAGGAAGATTTTTTAAACGCCCTTTATAAGGTTAATCTTATAGATGAAAGTGGATATAACCAAGTACAGAATATGCAGTTTCAAAGAGCTTGTCGAACAGATAAAGGTAATTTATAAATATCTTAAACAGGAAACGTACCTATAAAATCAATCGAGAGGTAAAATATTTTCAGTCTAACTACTTCTGTTTTTCAGAATGTGATGTGTTTAAAGATTCTTTATTGTTCTTTAGTTAGACCTTATATTGAATATGCCTCCGCTGTATGGAATCCCTGTTGTGTATATATAGAACAGATTCAAAGAAAATTTTTACATATTTTTACATTCAGATCTGGTATTGCCCTTGTCAATTTCAGATACAATTATGATTAATTGCACACTCTTTGTCATCTTGAAACCCTTCTGGGTAGAAGGAATGAAAGTTTTATTTAAGATAATTCATATGCTGCTTGTCACTATTTTTTTATCCCAAGCCAAAGCCTCAACCTAAAATTTGTTAAAATAAATCACCAAGAAAATTTTCTGAAGCGCTCTTCGGAAATCATAGAGATTTAGCAACTAGAGTTATGAGTTTTAATAATTTAACAGATAATGTATCTAATCTTTCAAATGAAATATTTTATATTGGCAATGAATGCACAAAGTTTGCCTTGTCATTTTGATGAAATATCTGCATTAGTTGTGGTAAAAAGACCATGGCTTACAGAGGATATTTTTGATTCTGAAATTACAATAAATAATTTTGATATATACAGAGTAGATAGTGACTGCAGGTATACTGGAGGGGTCTTAATCTATATAAATAAAGAAATAACGGTTTTGTCTTATAAAAAATTTAGTGTCCAAAAAAAATATTGGGTGATAATGCTGAGATTTTATTTTGAAAACTGTATTCATTTAATTGTTAGTTTATACAGATCAGTATATGTTCAGATTTTTGGATTTTTTTGAAAGTTTTTCAGATAGTTTTTTATGTGATAGTAGCTATAAGATAATTGTAATGGGGGATTTTAATATAGATTGGCTATCTGATAACTCAAATAGTTTTAGACTAAGAAACTATATTAGTGATATAGATTTTAGAAATGTGGTAACTCAAATTACTCATCCTGCTAACAATGACAATGGAGGCACACTTATTGACTTAGTAATAACCAACTGTTTAAATATAAGGACTGAAATTTGTCTCACTCCTAAAATAAGTACCCATTTTAATATCAAGGTGTATAGAGATTTTCAACCAATTAATAATAAGAAGTCTCAAACAATAGAAAGTCGAGGTAGAGTAATTGATTTTGAAAAAATAAATTATAAGTTGTCTCAGGTCAATTGGAATTATACTATCAATATTAATGAGAGATATATTAACTTCTACCAACATTTAATGACAGTATTTGATGAGGTGGCACCAAAAAGACCTGTTAAGATATTTTCTAACTATAAAGACTGGTGGAATCAGAAAGTCAGAAATGCTATCAGGAATAGGGATGATAGTTATAAAAGGTATGTATCTAACAAAACTGAAGAAAATAGGCAAATATACAAACAAAATCGAAACATAGCAGAGTTATTAGAAAAGAAAAAAGTAAATATGAACGGCAAATAAGTGAAAATAAACAAAATTCTGTTAAACTTTGGAAAGTTATGAAAAACCTTCTGCCTAAAAATAAACAAAATAGCTTAACGGAAATATAGATAAATGATAATCTAATAATAAAAGATATAATTGAGATCCCCAATGCCCTTAACACCTTTTTTTATATTGATAGTATAAAAGAAATTATTTATAATATAAATCATAATAATAGAAATTTTCCTGTAGCACTTAAGAATAATCATGTGTTTTTTAAGAAATTTAACTTCATTGACATTGACACAATGAGAGAAATTATTTTTAACTTGTCCAATAAAGGAAGTTCCGATGAAATAAATGCGTCCATTTCAAAAAACTGTTTTGCAAACATTGCATTGCCATTGCTTAATAAACACCTTCTCAGGAATGAATATAGTTCCTACAGCCTTGAAAACTTCAGTTATCATACCAATCTCTAAAGTCTCAAATTCAAATAGAGCAGCAGACTTAAGACTGATTAATATGCTAAGTACAATAGAGAAAGTATTAGAAAAATTTGTTTATAATCAACTTATTCATTACTTAGAGGAAAATAATCTATTTAATAGTATACAGTCTGGTTTTCGAGGAAAGCATAGTTGTGAAACAGCAATACAATATGTCCTAGATCACTTCAAGCAAAATAAAAATAATAAATTAATTACTGGTGCTCTATTTCTTGATTTACAAAGAGCATTCGAAACTGTAGATCGTACATTACTTATTAGTAAATTAGAAAGTTTTGGAATAGTTGATGCATTACAGTGGTTAATAAATTATTTAGATAGCAGAAAACAGAAGCTAAAGTTTAACAACATTACTTCAGATGAAATCCAAAATGAACAAGGTGTCCCGCAAGGAAGTGTGTTGGGACCATTATTGTTCTTCTTGTACATTGATGATATAGCACGTGTCGCAGGAAACTGTTACATTATCTTATTTGCGGATGACACTTTGATCTATTTTGCTTCAGACAAGTTACATGAAATAATTGAAAACATAAATAACACACTAAAAGAAATATTTCAATGGTGCTGTTTTAATTCTTTAACAATAATAACAATAAAACTAAGTTCATGATTATAGGAAATGACAAAAACTTTCAAGAATATAATATTAGTAACCTAAAAGTAAATATAGAAAATAGTAATATTGAAGTTGTTAAAAAATTTAAATATCTGGGTGACATAGTTGACTATATGTTACTATTTAAAGAGCATGCTGATTATGTTATTAAAATAATATCATTCAAAATCAGCTATTTATATAGATGCTCGAAACATCTTAACCAATGGTCTTCAAAGCTTCTTTATAATAGTTTAATTCTGTCCCATTTTACATATTGTGCCTCAATTTTATATTTGCTAAACCAAAATGAAATAAACAGGTTGCAGAAACTTCAAAATAAGGCAATGAGGATAATACTTTCTTGTGATAAAAGAACTCATATAAAAACAATGTTACAGGATCTTGAGTGGATGTCAGTTAAAAATTACATTCTATACCTAACATTAATTTTTATTTTTAAAATTCAATTACAAATGATACCTTCATACTTACTTGAAAAAATAGATTACAATTTTCAATTTAACAATTATAATACAAGAAATCGGACTAATTTTCATATTCAACATGTTATAAGTAGGAGTGCCCAAAATTCGGTCTTTGTCAAGGGTCTGCAGGCTTACAATGAGTTACCAGTTGAAATTAAAAATGCTACCTCATTAAATAATTTTAAATATAAACTTAACTATATTATGATGACACAAAGGGTATAAATAAATAAATAAATAAAAAAAGGATTTTAATTGTAGATATAGAGAGATTTTAATTGTAAATATACATTTAATTTTATATTTTACATGTATATATATTTTTATTCATAGTTAGACACTAATTTATTTGTTTTTTTTTTCTATTCATATTTAGACACTATACATAATGTATACTATACTTATTGTTGTAAAAACTGTACTATTTTTGTATTAGCAAAGCTAAATAAAGAATTTAATAATAATAATAGTTCTTGTTCTTTTATTCCTACAGTGATAAGATATGCTAATCAACTAAACATATAATTGAATAATTCCCCATCAGACTTTAGTAAATATTTTTATATAATTGTATATAAATATGTAGGATATTTTAAATTAATTTATTATTATTTAGGATTTTATTAATATTATTTAATTACTATGATATTATGTTGAAATGGGCTCTGATTCGTAAATACTTTTTCTATAGGTGTATCAGCTGCCCGTCAAATTGTCTCATTAAAGCTCAAAGAAAACATCGATTTGGAACAAATCAACGCCGAATTACCTGAAGTGATCAGAGTTTTTGGTTACAAACGAGTAACGAAAGGTTTCAATTCAAAAACACAATGCGATGCCAGAACCTACATATATCTAATACCTACTGTGGCATTTGCACCCCACGATAAAGAAGTAACGCAGAATGATTTCCGATTAGATAATGAAACTTTTGAAAAAGTGAATAAACTTCTTCAGAACTATCTGGGGACGAAGAATTTCCATAATTATACATCAAAAAAGAAACATAATGATCCTAGTGCCAACAGGTAATAAGCATTTTCAAATTAATACATGAATAAGATAAAAAATAATAAAAACTGTCTTTAATTTAATTTAAATAGCAGGGATTCATGGAAGGGATAAAATATATAATAGTCATTCTGAATTCAAAAACATTCCTATAATCACTTTAAAAATAAAGTTAGCCATTGGATTTTAAAAATACCAATTAACAAAATTAAACATGTTTAAATTTAAATATTGATTTTTATAGTTTAAAGGTGCTAAAAGTTTCTTATAAAAAAAAATGTTTAAAAATTCGCCCATGTCTGTAAGTATTCTGTTATAACTTATTTTTATTATTACTTATTTTACAAAAAGAAACATTACGTTTTGTGAAAAAATTGTTCAATTGCAGTGTGTTTTAAATTTGTAAATTTTTGCTACTTTATCCTCATATTTTGTTAATATGTTTAAAATATCAAGTGCCAAATCACCATTTTTTTCTCCCAATAAGAAATGTTGTGCGTCTCCTAATTTTTCTTAAATTTCACTCAAATTTTTCATTGACAGAATAAAAATCTCTTGGTCTTCCTCACTTTCATAGTTTTCATCTTCGGTAGGGTCAGTTTTGCTAGTGAATTCCTAAATTATTTCCTGCATATCAATACTGGAATTTTCTGTTGAAATGTCTGACTCGATTAGAAGATATTTTTCCAGGTCTGGATTTTCTGGAATAACGAAAAACTACTGACTCAGTGGAACATCATCTTCTTCTTCAAAAGTCTCGTTACCTTGGAAAGTTTCCATAAATCAAATCCAGCTTTTTGGAAACATTTTTTTCCATGTTGCAACGTCCCATACCATAGCATGTGACAAATTTATGCTTTTTTGTTTATTCAAATGCATCTTCTGTGTTTGTAAAAGTTAACAATCTTAAATATTTTCTATATTTTACTTTAAAATTTTGTATTACCCCTTGATCCAATGGTTGGCAGTGAAATGTAGTGTTTGGAGGCAGAAAAACAATTCGAACATTTTCCAGCTGTGTTTTCAGGTGACAAGAAATAAAAGTACTTTTTCATTTTGTTGTCAGTCTTTTTATTGGAGACCCATGAGAAAGTTTTACTGTTTATTAATAAACAGAGTATTATATTATTGATTGCCTCAAATTAGAGTAAATACAGAGACGATTGTAGATATCCAAATAAAAGACTAAAAAGTCCTATTCATATTTTATTCCAATAGTCGTTATATATGTACTTATTACTGTCAATTATTTTAAAAAAACAATTTTTAACAGGTACATGAAATCTTTTGTTATGGAGACACCTTTTGTCAAAAATGGAGTTGAGTTTGCCATTTTGAAAGTTCACGGACAGAGTTTTATGTTGCATCAAATAAGAAAAATGGTCGGAGGCTTGTTGGCAGTAGTGAGAGGTTTGACTACAGAGGATGTTATACAAAATTCGTTTAAACCAGAGAAAATTACTATACCAAGAGCTCCAGGTTTAGGACTAATGTTGGAATATGTGCATTATGATAGGTACAATTTTTATTTATTTTAAATCAATTTATGCTAAGATAAGGCATGTGATAGTCCTAGGGTTGTAAAAAACCTAAGAATTGAAAAAATATAAGTAGGTTTTTAGGTTTTTTAATAATTATTTCGGTTTTTAAGGTTTTTAGTTCATATATGTCAAAAATTACAAATTTTTATTAAAGTTAACACAAAAAAAATAAGAAGTGAAAAATAAAGGGTAATTTTTTTAATGGTCACTATTTATAATATCACTAATATTAATATCAAGAAGTTCATCAGTTGTTACCTTTAATAAAATATTTTCATTTGTTTTTATATACACGAATTTTTGCAACTTTTTTGCTTAGAGTTGTTTAGTGAAATTGTGAATTCTAAAATAATTATCTTAAAAAAGAAATTAAAATTGCAAAATTTTTACTTTTTGTTCAAAAAGAAACATGTACCTGCCAATCCATATAATTTTTCTTTCTTAAAACATAGAAAAAATATGTTAGATAAATTAAACAGCATGTTTAAATATTTTTAGATACAACTTTAGATACGGAAGCGATGGGGTCCACGAGAAACTAACCTGGGACGAATATGAAGATCAAATACAAGCTTTCAAAGAAAAATACATCTTTCCAACTATAATAGACAAAGAAATTCAGGAAGAAGCAATGATTTATTGGCTGAAGAACAAACTAGCCAGACATGCGTACGATTTGGACGAAGAAAATGAAAGTGATCTCGAATCTGGTGGGGAAGATGATGATGACGATGACGAGAAAGTTCGGTGTGAAAAGAACAATGATGATGAAGAATGTAAAAGTAATGAAAATAAAGTTGAAAATGTTAAAATTTAATTTTTTATCATTTTCCTCGATATCAATACAAAAAAAAGTGGTATATCTGTACATATATTCCTAATAAATATTACAGATCAAAAAGTATGAATTAAAATATATTGGAACAATATTATAATAGAAGTAACCTGAAGAAAATACCGCAAAATAGGATAAAAACAAAATTAAAATATTAAAAACTGCCAATTGTTAACTTATAAAGATGGTGGACATTATAGACACAACAGAAGAATTAAAAAATAATCCAAGTACCATGCAAATATTCAAATTAAATATGTACCACCAAAATATATGTCCAATGCAGAAAACAAATAAAGAAAAAATAAAAATTGATCAACAAAAATAGGATACACAAATTATATTTAAGATTAAGTAGATACTAGATGTCATCATGGAATAAAAAAAAATAAAATCTAAATTTTATTAAAAATAAAAAAATTACATAAGAATTAAATCTAACGTTTTGATTTTACCTTAAATTTTAAGAATACCCTGTTTATTTATGATTCTTACACCTTATTTTTAAATTTTTCTTTTAATCTTGAGATGTAGGTTTTTTAGAAGAATAATAAGAAGAAAACATCTTTAGTGGAGGTAATCCCAAAGGGGCTATCGAACGGAGTCTTCAGGCCCGTATTAACATTGATCGTTGTTTCTTAATTATTTGATATTTAAACGACAATACATTGTACAGTAGCGTAGCCAGAATTTTTTACATGGGAGGGGTTTCTGAGAACTATGGGAGGGTTAACAAACAGTTAATAGTGATCAGCGGCGCCAATAAGATAGCGAAAGCCCTCCGTGGAGGGGGGTTCTGGCCCCTTAAACCCCCCCACCACATAACTTTAATCTAAATATTTTCATATTGCTCTTGCAAAAGTCTGAAAATTAGTCAGTTTGCATTATTGTTAACTTTATTTTGTTTACAAGTGTAATATGAAGATTTTTAGATTAATGATTTGTGGTGCATTGAATTAGTAATAAAATTAGCTTTCAAATGAAGTGTCAGACTTTACAATACCTAACAGTTTTTTGCCGTACTAGAAGAGGAGACACTTGACTCCAAAATCTCCCCAGATCTGAGGAAATTTGCAGATGTAGCAACGTCGCAATACATGGAGTAGATGGTAGGTATGTTTACATTTTCCCAGACATCGAGTGATTTTGTAGCCAGAGACAACGTCGAATTTTGGTACGACGCTTCAATTGAGAGATCCCTTAGAGTAATCTAAATGGGGCCTCACAAGTAAACAAAACAATATTTTAATGGATGATGCCTCTAAAAAATCCTTAGCGAAACAATAAATCCTAGCATTTAAAGTGATTTTAAGACTGCCATTGATATACGGGGTACGTAAGATAAGTTGGAATCGAGGACTACACCCAAATTTTTAACTTGAGATACCGATTCCAAAGGGCAACCATTAATATTGCAGATTATTTGTTCTGTGGGACTTCTGTTACGACTGAAGACCATTTGATGGCACTTTTTAACATTAAGTTCCATTCCATTTGTTATGTTTTCAGTTGGTGCAAGGGAATAAAACTACTAAACTTGTAGGCACGTTTTTTATTTCCCTCCTTAGCACGAATATCACAGAATTACATCACTTATTATGTACACGCCATTACCGCAGTTCGGTATAGTTTTATAGACAACCATCACGTTCGGAGTTGAAGAAGGTCGTGTGACTTGTTCTTCTACCAGTGGTCTTGTACCACGCATGTCCCAATCTTTCCGGAAGTAGTAGGTTTACAGCGGGAACTATGAATTACAATACATCACACCATTGATTTCACTCAAGTTGCTGAGACGATCGAAATCAGCTTGCAGATTTATATAATCAGATTCGTTCTTTATTCTCATATATAATTTTAAGTCAACTGTAAACATTAGAAATAGGGCCCAAGTGTGAACCTTGGAGTACATCTGATGATACTTTAATTCCTATTGATCGGAAGCCCTGAATACGCACTATTTGTATTCTTTCAGTAAGGTAAGAAGATAGACATTCAAGCAGTTCCCCCTGAATTCCCAAACACTGCATCTTATTAATTAAAACTTTATGATTAACCCTATCAAAGGCTTTTTTTGAAATCTGTATACACAGCATGTGCTTGATAACCCTCCTCTAGGGATTCCAAGAGATAGTAAATGTTAAAAAGTTAAGCTCTGCTGAAGATGAGAAATAAATCCAAAGTGTTGTTTAATAAAACAGCATTTTAAACTAGCCGATAAATAATCACAAACAAGTATAGGAGTAAAAAAGCTTGTTTTTCAATACGCTGGGAATGTCCCGTTTTTTAAAGAAAAATTGAAGATGTGAAAAAGGGGTCTGGAGAACAAAAAGCTACAGTATTTAATAAGGGATGGTGGACCATCGGGGCCTGACCCTTTGTTAATATTCAATTTTGATAGTTTTTCATAGATTGATAAGATATATATGCAAAATTGGTTGATGTCATTAGAAGGCAAAGTATCCTGCAAATTATAATCCTTATCACTATAAGTTTTAGAAAAATACTCAGCAAACAAATTGACAATATACATGCCAGAGGAACTAGTGGTATTATCATAGTGCATTACCGAAGGTATATTACTTTTGCCTTTTCTACTGTTTACAAATTTCCAAAAATTTTTAACATTGATCCTAAGAGACGATTCGTGTTTACAGTGACCCTTAATAAAGAAATTTCTTTATAATCATTTAGTGATCTACTTTCCAAGTATTTTTTATGTATTTTTTTTAATTATCCCTTTCTTTAGCTCTGGGGAAAACCAAACAGGAAACTTCTTTGCCGAGTATTATTTTAAAGTAACAAAAATATCAATTATTAGGTACACAATGTCATAAAAGTTATTAAACATATCCTCAAGATTCTAGTTCTCAAATAAAAGATCCCAATTAAACTGGGAAAGAAAATTTGTCACTTCTTCCACATTCATTGAATGAAAATCTTCTCAAAAACCATCACCAGTCAATCCCGAGTTGATATGGCTTTTCGTTTTTGGTTTATGATTATTTTTTAAATTTCAACCCTCGTTAACTCCCTATTTCTAAATAGATTTTTTTCAAAATCAATTGGCTTTGTCCCCTTATAGAGCTTGATTTTTGCTAAAACTTTCAAGATATCATTTTTTTTTTTTTTTTTTATATTTCAACCCCCCTTAACCTCCCAAATTATTCAGAATCAATATGCTTCGAGCCCTTATAGAGCTTGATTTTTTCCTAAAATTTTCAAGTTAATATTAATTTTTCGTTTTCGCGGACAAAAAACAATAATATAATAACTGTTCTAAAAATTAAAAATGCGCTACGAAACATTTCAAGGTTTTTAAATAGTAATCTCAAACTTAATATAATTAAAACCAAAGGGCATGACTATCACTGAGGAATATAAGTACATACAGGGTTGGGATAAAGTATGGAACCAAGTAAATATCTTTAAAACGAAAAGGACGATATTTATGAAACTTTTCAGGCAAGTACAATGACGCATAACGCATCTGATACCATAATTTTTGTTACTACTGTACTTCCGGTTTCACCGGAAATACCCTACGTTTTTATTCTCATTAATCTAAAAGAAAAAATTATTTTAACAAATAATTTCCACTAAACTTAGTATGTACGAATTCGGAATAACAAATGATCTTTTAAAATCTGCAAAAATATAGGTGTCCCCTTTAAATTAAAAAAGTTTGTTGCTCAATCACGCAAGAACGGCCAAATGGATTTAGATGAAATTTGGCACAAATATAGATTATAGTCTGGAATAGCTCATAGGCTACTTTTTATCCCAAAAAATGTACGGTTCCCGTGGGATCGATTTGTTTTTCACAGAGCAAGGGATCGGACATAATTTTTTGCATGTTGGTAGTGAATCATGAAAATTTGAAATACTGCTACTGAGCATAAATAAATAATGACGTGTTTCAGTGTTTTTGGATTTTCACATTTTAGGGAGGGGAAACGGGGGTTAAAAGTTTGCAGAAGCATCGATTTTTTAATAGGTAGGAGCTTGAAAATTGGAATTATAGCTACTCATCACAAATAATTAATGGTGTATTTCAGGTTTTTGGATTTTTATATTTTAAGAGGGAAAAGAGGGAGAAAATGGGGCAAGAGGGGAAAAGAAGGAAAATGGTGGAAATTGGGGAAATGTGTGGGAAGTGAAAGTTTGTATGGTAGGAATTTGAAATTGTGGGTACTCTTTATAAATAAATAGACATGTTTCAAAGTATTTGGATTTTACATATTAAGGGAGGAAACGGAAGGTGAAAGTTTGAATAAGACTTTAGGTTTTTTAATTGTAGAAATTTGAAAATTGGAATTATAGCTACTCATCACAAGTAAATAATGACGAATTCAAGGTTTCTGGATTTTCACATTTTAAGGAGGAAGGAAAATAAGGAGTATCGTAAAAATAAAAAGAACAATATATAAAAATAAATAAAAACATAAAAATAAATAAAAACAGATAAAAATAAATAAAAATTATTAAAAATAAATAAAATAAATAAAAAAAAATTTGTTAAAATTAATAAATAAGATTATTAAAAATATTAAAAATTAATAAAAATGATTAAAAATTATTAAAAATGATTAAAAATTATTAAAAATTAATAAAAATTAATAAAAATAAAAAATTATTAAAAATGATTAAAAATTATTAAAAGTTATTAAAAATTATTAAAATTATTAAAAATTATTAGAGATTAACAAAAATTATTAAAAATTACTAAAAATTACTAAAAATTACTAAAAATTAATAAAAATTAACAAAAACTAATAAAAACAAATAAAAAATAATAATAATTAACAAAAATTAATAAAAATTACTAAAAATTATTAATTGTAATTTAAAGAAATGAACGTTTTTAAATTACAAACAGGACACCATGAGTGCAAAGCCGCGGGCAAAAGCTAGTTCTTTATATAATGCCTTTAAATTAACAACCCTGTGAGGTTGAAACTAGTAGCACACTTTATCAATAAAGTTACTGTGAGCAAGGCTTTGAGTATTTTTATATCTTGTAACATTTGATAATGGATAATCTTCTTCACTTATAATTTCTTAATAAAAGACCTTATGTGTGTATCATAGACAGATAGGTAAATAGTCTATGTAAAGAAAATGACCTCATGCATATAAGTACAGAAATCAAAGATATTGTAAAAAGTCTATCTTAAGGTGCTGCAACAATTTTTAAACTTACCAAGGTTTCCAACCGGCAGGCAAAGCTTTCATCAATCCCTCAGCTGCTATAGGTAATAGCTGAGGTTCTGAATCAGGGTCTATTCCAATTTTTTGGGCATAGTCTTTTACTTCTAAAAAATACAACACAGGTATGCGGTCAATCATTTTATGCCTAAAGGGAATTGTTATTTTACATCAATGTTAAATTAAAACAAAGCAAACGGAGGCATGTAGATTGATTCCTACTTTTATTTATTAAACATTTAAATAAAGGTGTGTTACATAGTGTCAATAGAGGTGCCACCTACACCTATAGGTGGTTACCATATATTGCATTTAAATGGGTTCTTGTGCAACTGGCTCTTTGGATGAGCACTTAAAAATCCATAGGCATGTTAATTAGACTATACATTAATGTTTTCCACAGTTGGTTGCTTAAACAAAAACACTGCATTGCTTGTTGCTTTGATATATTACAGGTGGTCATATCTTTGGCACAGCAATTATGTCACTATAGTAAGCAGGTCGGCACTGAACGAGTTAACATTATATAAAATAAAATCCCAGGTGAACAAAGTTTAATTAAAATAATTTAAAATGTTTATTCTTCATTAAAAATGTCAGATTAGGAAAAGTATTATCTCATGTATAGGCATTTTATATGCAAAAGTAACTTAAATAAATTCCAATCACATTTGTTTCAAAATTGATGAATTAAAAAAATATAAAATTTTCGTTCCTATTATTAAAAAATAATTAATATTACTTTTACAAATGTGTAAACATAGAGTTTAATAAATAAGAATTCCTACTTCTTTGAAACTCTTTCATTTATCCTTAATTTATAAAGGTTTTCCTAAGAATATTATATTTTTAAAATAGCTGCCTGTATAGGTTACATTGGCAAAATCATGGTCTCAGAATTTAATGATAAACAAATTGTTCCTCACAATAAAATATTGCCTAAATGATTGGAAAAATCTTGCATAGTTTAAAACTGTTACTAGTATTTTTTTATAGAATAAAATAAATTAAAAATGAAATAACATAAAAATAAGTACAATACAAACAAATAATTAAGAAATATAAAAAAAAATCAAACAAATCAAAACGTTTAACCTAAGAGCCTTAAAATAAAAACAAATAATTAAAACGAACCCACGATTTGCCCTAGTTTTTAAATAAACAAACCTTCTTCGGAGGGGTGGGTGATTTCGTCAAAAATTTCTTCGCAAATTATTGACATTCTCGGTATATACTAGTTTTAAATTGGTGGTAAATTTTGATTTAAATTAACTACATTTTTGGAATCTTTACAGCTGATTCAACTTTTGACATTAGCGGTGATGAAGGGTTATTGCAGGGTTACTGAAATTTTTGGGGTGAAAAATAAACAAGTGGGGTTGTTGAACCCTGCGTCATCTGGCGGTGTAAGTATAAATTAGTTGAGGTTGATAAAGTAGTGATTTTATGTCGATATTGGTTGGTTTACTAACAGATGGCGCTACAATATTCGACCATATAATGATAGATAAGCTTTATTCCTAGAATTAGTGGGTTTAATTATCTAAACGGGGCGAAAGGAAAAGGACACCAAACAGTACAATGAACATTGCCGTACCGTATGGAAGGGGTCATATTGTTTAGTTATTTAATTTTTTAGTGCACCGCTCAACAGTTAATAACCAATTATAGAGTGGAATGAATATAGAAAAAAAAATAATTTCAATCATGTGATGCATCATACAAATTTTCAAAGAAAAAATGTTAATTTTGACTGTTTATATAAAACATTTTAATTTAAAAATTATCATAAAAATTACATAAAATACAGTAGGTATACCTAAGTAACTATTCATAAAAGACGAATTTGTTAACTTTACAAGCACAATACATGTAACGGGGGCAGAAGTTGGAAAGGATTTTCGCAGTTCTCTCACTTATACACATACAGGGCCGCCTAGAGTTAAAAGTGTGGCCTCGGGACATTTTTATAAAAAAATCAAGTCCTTTCTATTTTACATTTCTAAAAAAAGGCCTCAAGCAGCCAGGGTTGCCAACCTGCCTTTACCGATTTACTCTCAAAATCTTTTCCGGATTACTCACAATTACTCACAACTTCAAAATATCAATAGTTTTTTTATATAAATTGTACATTTTGTACTCTTGCACTTTGGTTTGAATTTATTTTACTACCGTGCAATGTTGCCAAACATTAAAAGAGAAATTTTCAGAACATTCAAGAGTCAAAACAGATGCACCTTTTTTTCTGTGCATTCACTATTTTTATAACCAAGTAATATACAGGTTGATTCATAACTATTGAGACATAGGCTAAGGCAGGTTATTTGGACAAAAATATGGCGATAGGACCAAAATAAAATATTGCTGTGGAATAAGATACAGTGCATTAAATTTTTCTGATGTCACTGTATATCTGAATGAATTGATATCAAAATTGGCACAAAGGCATATTTTTCGACAAGGAATAATATTTTATGTATTATTTCACATTTTGTTACAGGAGGCGCCACGTGAATGATAAGTGATGATGAAATTAAGTGGTAGCTTTTTTACAAAACTTTTTAATATTTTTGATTAGAAAATTTCACCCGTTTTCGAGAAAAACGCAATTGAACAACTCACAAAATGTTTCATTTATGAAAAGTTTGCATTGCAGTGTCAATAAATAAGTTGCTGTTAGATAATGGTCTATTATTATTACTATTATTATTATTTAACGCCCTGTACCTTATTCTACAGCAATATATTATTAAGGTATATTTGGCCCTATCGCCATATTTTGATACAAATAACTTGCCCTTAGCCTATGTCCCAATAGTTATAAATCACCCTGTATATAAAACATCTTTGTCATCAGCTGAACAAAAAACACAGATAAAAAAGATTGGAGAATCAGAGTAGCTTCTTTATTAACGGGCCAATTCATAATAAATCATTATTTCTAATACTTAAAAAAATCTACTAATAAAAAAATATACTTTTAAAATGAACAAAAAAAAAAGATATTAATCGACGATTGGGACAGTCCCAATGGGACTATCACTATCGACACGAAACCTAGTGTTGTAAAATATCAAAATCACTTTTACTCTATTACATTGACCAAGCAATAGAGGACGTTGCAATTTTAAAACTATAAAATTGTAATGACTGCTAAAAGTGCTAGGGGGTAAAATAAGGCTTATATTGAAATTTTTAAAAAGATTTTGCCTAACTACCATAAATATACCCACGCTGACTTCCCGATTACTCACATATTACTCACAATTGCCCTTTACTCACAGACTAGTAAATTACTCACAAATGTGAGGAATTACTCACAGATTGGCAACCTTGTAAGCAGCAATAACTCGGATCTTTTCGTAGTGAAATCTAAAAAAAGGTCCTCACCTATATTTCGTAAACCACGTCCTTCCTTTGCTGCCCCCCCCCCCTCTCGTCGGGCCTGTACACATAAATTGACAGTTTTGCGGTGGAGGTACCCGAAGTGGACGCGATACATCATAGATTACTAATGTGAACGATACATTCTTAAATGATACATTAGCGTACTAAATTATTTTATAGATTTTAATAACAATTTCGGGTAAATAGTTTAATAAATTGTGAATAGCTGTTGAAATAAATGTTTGTTTAATAATTATTTCTAGTCCATAAAATACATGCGATTGTCCGGTTCCACCAGTAACAATTTAAAATTACTGATTCTATAAAACGACACTGGCAAGTAAACATCACCACGACAGTCTCTAAGCCTTCCGATGTGGTTTGACGTTTACTCCCTTTCTACCTACCAAAAGCCTTTCCAACTTTTGCCTCGGCTATACATAATTATGTATATTGTTTTTATAATATGTCTAACATAGTAGTTGGTGCGACAAGAGTGGATACGAACAATCCACTCCAGTCGTACAGTATCTTTTTTCTGCGACCCACTAAATTAAATATACAATTTTTAGTTTATTAAAACAAAATAACTAATTTTAAAACAATTTATAACTTTTTACTAATTAAAAAAAAAATAAAAATGAAGAAGAGATTTAATTTAATTACCCTTCAACCCAGATTTGAACCCAAGCGTCTGGCATGGAAGTCAAACGCCCTGTTCTCACCTTATCGACACATTTGCCATTTTACTTTTAATACTTGTACTTAAATTAGTTTCATATAGTTAGATAAAAATGTATAATTTATTTGTAAATGTGGACGACATAAAAACAGAAAAATTAAAAAATATACTAACCGTTAGCTTGACAGACTTGTCACTTTTTTCTATCAGGCTCTTGCTTTAGTTTTTGGAATTCTCTCCAGGTTTTTGGCAACCATAAATGTGTTATAAGTTCTTCGTCAGAAAAATCGTCTACATTGTCATCTACATTCCCCAATAAAGCAACTTCTAACAATTCATGCATTTTTTACGCTGTTGCTAGGTACACGCTAAATTATACACAAATCATAAAATTATACACGCATATTGCTGTGGTGGGAGGTGTTTGTGTGAATGCGTCTTGTTTACGCCGTGACTAGCAGTAGTATTTTATAAACCTTAGAAGCAAATTTCACATACATGAACAAATAATAATGCAGTGACAAGAAAACGAAGCAACGACTTCTCGTCCAGAAAATTTCAATCTATACCTAGCTACGCCGACCGGCATAAACACCAACGGCCTAGACACAGCTCATCTACTCTGTCAAGACGTTTCGTGTGTATATAACTTTTTGAATTGCGTACAAGTTAGCGTGTACCTAGACACTGTTTTTTTTATTAACTTTCAATTTTGTAGCGTTTCAAGGGCGGCTTCAGGGGGGGGGGGGTAGGGGGACAGAGGTAATAATTTTTTTGCAGTCCATGTGCCTTTTACTTAGGGTAACTATATGCACAGAAAGGCCATTGTACAGCCCCGAGAGGTTGCGTTACATACAGCATTTTCAAAGTCTTGGAGTCTAGGATTTCGAAAGCATTCTAGAGGAATACAATTTCCACGAAAACTTCAACATGTACCTACTAATAATTTTTGTAAGTTACGGACTTTTTTTCAAACTTAGTAATCATTTTTCTCAAGATTTTCATGTGAAATATGTCATATGTCAACGTGAAAACAGTATTTTTAAAGTTAATAATAATTCAAATTCTTGGGAGAATTTTAATCCTCTCAAAATAAACAGTCTGTGAGTTTTCACTGGCTTAAAAATACCGTTTTTACGATGACGTATGACATTTCTCATGAAAATCTTGAGAAATCACTTTCTCGAGTTTGAAAATAGTCCCCCAAGAAATTGCTGGCCGGTGGAGTCATTGTTGTGGCCTTCATGTAAGTGAATACAAATGGTCTTGAGATATTTGGCATATTGGCAAAAACTGTAAATGTGAGTCGGTGTTGTAAATTACGAGTTTTTAAGGCACTAATATACTTATTCATGTCATTTAAAAAAGTATCTATGCCTTCATAATTTTTTTAAAGACAAATGCTTTTTATAATGAAATGGAAGTAAATTTCTAGAATTTAAGATAACAAAGAGAATATTTATGATTATTTTAAATCTAATTTTTGCACCAACTACAGCAAATTTTCTTATTTTTAATTCATCTTTACAAAACCCTAACTCTAACCACAATTAATATCTCAAATACGGCCCTGCACATTGATTATTGTTGTATTAGTCCAAGCGGCGACCGCCACCGTAAAAAGGTGGTCATCCAGTACAAAAATATATTTTATTACTTTTTGGGTATTAGATTAATAACAAACCATCGGTCTGGTAGTCTATGACTTGTCTAATTTTTTTTTTAAATAAAATTTCTATTTTATTTTTTTTGCAAATTTGATCTACATGACTTAACTTTCCATCTAAATAACATGGAAATTTTTTTTTTCTTTTTTCTTATTTTTGTAGCTTGATATTTGAGCATTGTAAAAATAAAGTGAAACATTATTTTGGTAGGAAATTGAACGCTCTACAAAAAGTTCTAATATATTTTTTTCATAGAGTGAGCCGTTCTGAAGATATTCAAACTTAAAGTTGCAAATGTATGAAATTAGGACTTTTATTTTATTAAACTGATGACTTTTTTATGTCTTAAAAATTATTTTCAAGAAAACATCATTATTTTCATATAGAAAGAAAATAACGACGCACAGAAGACAAAAATTCACCAGAAATATTTTTAAACAAAAACATGAGTGACTTTGTTTCAAAACAATCATTAAAACTTTTTGACAAATTTGATTTGCCATACGACTTTCTGGATGCAGATGTCCTAATTTGGCCAGATAATGAAAGTTATCAAGAGAATTTGGAGTTTTTCGAAAAATTGAAAGTTGTCAATCAGGACATGGCGTCGCATTAGTAGAAGAATATAATAGATGCCTAACTAAAGATGAGGAACAATTTTAATATTTATTACAAGTGGTAAAGAAGCACCGACGAAAATATTCAAATTGTAATAAAAAAACTTCAACAAATATAGTTACATAATTTAATTCTGATAAGACATTAAAATATCTATTAGTTTCAAAATTTTAGTATACTAATAATTTTACTGAACCTAATTCATAATTACGTTTGTTTAACAGTTAATCAAATAATATCTAAGATGTATTTTTTTTATTTTAGCTTTCTAAAAAGATTAGCGCACAAAAACCAGTTTTCTGATTAAAAATAATTTTTAAGACATAAAAAAGTCATCAGTATTAGTTTAATAAAATAAAAGTCCTAATTTCATACATTTGCAACTTTAAGTTTGAATATTTTCAGAACGGCTCACTCTATGAAAAAAATATATTAGAACTTTTTGTAGAGCGTTCAATTTCCTACCAAAATAATGTTTCACTTTATTTTTACAATGCTCAAATGTCAAGCTACAAAAATAAGAAAAAAAATTTTTCCACGTTATTTAGATGGACAATGGAAAGTTACGAACAGGCACCACTAAATGATAATATTAAGAGCTCAAATTTTTAGAGGCTTCTTTTTTCACCTTCCTGAAAGTTTTAAGTCTGTTTTTACTTTCCTATCTGTATACAGATATAAGGAAAGTATAGGAATCATGATTTTTTTCGACCTCGAGTTTTCGACGGATTTTTACGTTTTGGGGTCCCCTGAATTCGTTTTGACTATTTTCGGGATGATGTCTCTGTGTGTGTGTGTGTGTCTGTATCCACCATAACTCATGAACCGATACGAATAAAAACACCAAATTTTATACTTAAGCTTTATTCCGGCCTGCGGTGAACTGATTAGATTTTGGACAGAGTCGGAACATTTGGGGGGGGGGGGGTACTTTATTGGTGGTCATTTTTATATTTTATGGAATATATTCGTTATTTACGTTTTGAGAAGAAAATTCTTCAAATAAAAGTTACAATATTATTATCTATAATTTTTGTTCTATATAAAATTTTCCTAAAATGGTCCGTATTCGAGAAATTTGACAAAATGTAATAAAATTAATTTTTTTATAAAAATTGTTTGCACTATAATTCTCTATAATTTTTATCCCATACATAATTTCTCTAAAATGGACCGTATTCGAGATATTTGAGAAATTGTGTAAATTTCGAATTTTGAAGAAAACTCAAAAACGGATAAAAGAAAACACATTAAATTTTAAACATAAGTTTTATTTCGGCCTGAGGTGAAATGATTAGATTTTGGACGATGGAAGGCCGATTTTATATTTTATGGAATATATTATAGAAAAATGTGTCGAGTTAGATGTATGTGGAACATGTATATATTTAGTTTATCCTCTAAACATTTATAGAGGTGCTGCAATAGGTTTTAAAAAATAACCGGAAAAAGCCTATAATAACTAGATAGGAAAGTCATGTGTTGGACACATCAGATTTTTTAGTTGAAAAAAAAAAAAATGGATAAGTCATAGACTACCAGACCGATGGTTTGTTATTCATCTAATATCCAAAAAGTAATGAAATATATTTTTGTACTTATACTGGTTGACCACCTTTTTACGGCAGTCGCCGCTTGGACTATGAAATGTATCAGCATTAAACGATAATACTTTCTCCTTGCTATTAGTGATATTACAGATAAAGCATTTCATTTTTCTAATTCAATAAAAAATTATTTAGCTAAGTAAATGTCATTTAAAAACAAGCACATCACATTTTGGCGAATTAAACAGGTTAAGATTTGAATGATGTCAATTATGTCAAAAACAACTCGCACTTTACAAGCAGTAGAGAAAGACTTGCTTAATCTTGGTCTGGCAGAGTTTTGGTCAAGTATGAACGTGCCAGACCAATTTTATTCGAAAGAGGAATAAAAAAATAAAAATTTTGACGTCTGATTTTTTCTTATATCTTGTATAGAAAATTTGTTGTTGTAATAAATTTGTTGGGGTGGTCTCACAAACAGTTGCGCCAAAAATAAGAACGCCAGACTTGAATTTCTATGTTCATCTGGTCAAAATGCCATCGAAAACTAAAAAATTATGTTTAAGTTATGTAGATCAAATTTGCAAAAAAAATAAAATACAAATTTTATTTTAAAAAAAAATTGGACAAGTCATAGACTACCAGGCTGATGGTTTGTTATTCATCTAATACCCAAAAACTAATAAAAAATATTTTTGTACTTGTACTGGATGACCACCTTTTTACGGCGGTCGCCGCTTGGACTGTATATTTAGTAGTGGAATGTTATTTCAGATAATTTCTTTTAACTTTTAATATGTACAATTAAGTTTGCAAAAAACACAAAAATAGAAAAAACGTTGATTGAAACCACGATTAGGAGGATTCGTGAAAGCAATATGGCGGAAGTGAACCCGTCTTAGACCACATGACAGCGTCTCCCTATCTTCTACCTCAATGCTCAATTCCTAATACGACGTTCAATAAATTTATGAAAATAAAATTAAACTATGTTGGGTATTTGGTAAAATACAAATCACTTCGTAATTAACAAAAATAATTTTATTTGCATTCAAGTTTAACACAAATTGCCTACTATAAAATTTAAAATATATAAAGAGAAAAATAGAAATACACAAAAATTAAATGCTTAAAAAATATTTAATATTTTTTTGGTAAGTTCAAAATTTCTTAGTAACAATATAAAAAAATATTACCCATTCCACTATTATCATTTATAATATCAATTATACCCCATTAATAATTTTTTTATATACAAAAACCAATAATTCATGGGATTTAAACAAACATTCAATATAACAAAGCTGTGAAATGTTAAATAAAAAATATAAAAATGCAATGTGAAAAATAATAAATTTCATATTTTTTTCTACTTTTCGTCTTCAACAATTTTTTTTTTTTTACAATATCCGAGTACCTATAGTTTATAATAACAATGATAAATTCATTTTCCGAGTTTGATAAATCAAAAAACTTTCTCAGTCAGATGTTAACAACAGATTTGTATATTTTAGTATTAAAATATATTTTTTTATTAAAACAATATTTTTATTGTTCACTGTATATTTTAAAAAGTTTTTAGTTACAAAATTAAAAAAAAAATGAGTCGTAAAGCTTGTTGCACGTAGTTTCGGCTATATTTTTCATGCTCCATAATTTCTATCCATTTCTATATTAAATAATAAAAAAGTGACTTAAATAATGTTTCTAACTTAATTTTTTTCAGGTACTTACGCACTCCCCGGCTCACAAACCACATTTTTGTATCAAGACGACTTAGGAATTTTAAAAACCTATCAAACTCCTAAAAATCAACAAATAAACATTTTTTTTTCAAACTTAACCATTTTATACAACAAATTTATCTGATAAACGTATGTCTTATAAAATTTGTTATCAATATAATTTTTAAAATTTGAAAAGCAATATAAACGATTATGGTAATATTTAAAATAGTCAAAAATTCTAATGAAACTAAGAATATTTTATAACACATACATCCAGATTTCCAGCTGACAAAAACATGTACTTCAGATATACTTTTTTAACATTTTTTTTTATTATTTAACCTTTCAAAGCTTGTTAACTAGTCATGCCTGGATAATAGCAACGGCTTCTTCTTTCTCCTCTTCCAATTCCTTGCCGGTGATGGCCAGTTTCTGTTTGGCGAAATCGTCTATGGTCAAACCTTGAACGATCGACCATTGACCATTTTTGATGGTAACTGGAAACGAAAAAACTAGGTCCTTAGGTACGCCGTAGCTGCCGTCGCTGACGACTCCCATCGAGACGTATTTTCCGTAAACTGTACCTTGGAACCAGTCTCGCATGTGATCGGTGGCAGCTTTGGCTGCTGACAGAGCGGATGACATTTTCCTGGCTGCTATAACAGCGGCACCTGAAAATATTATGAACTTTTTAAAGAAAATGTATCCAGGGTAAATATTCTTGAAACTCAGGTGAGGGAAGAATAAGACAGAGAAACACATTTTGTACATTGCAGATAAATAACAAAAACCGGTTTTCTATTCCCCCGAATTCAATAATGGTTACCCAATTTAAGGAATAGTGTAAAATAAACGAATTTAAATTCAAATATAGTAACTTTATTTTCATCAGACCCTCGGCCTAGCTCATATCAAGGTCGGTGAGTTCGAATTTAGAATTTACCAACAAACCAATGGCATCATCTTTAATTAAGAAAGTGCTACTTTGCCGCTTAAGACAAAAAGTTGCCCCAACTCGCAGCGGAGTGCGGCATTTTATCGTAAGCGGCAAATAGCTTTCCGCTCGAATTACACACAATATTTTTTCTACGATCGCACGATATTAAAAGTATATAGTTTTATTTTGCTGAATTCAAATCTTACTACGTTAATTTGGACAGACACGACTAACTTGACTAGCAACCGAAAAGTATGTTGTGTATATTGTGTTGCCTGCTTACTCTAGGATACACATAAAAAATATTTGTTAGTAAGTACATCCTAAAAACAACTTACAAGATGATCGATTAGAATACTCAAATCGCAAATTAATCTCTCATACACTGTTTTAAGTTTTATTTAATTTTACAAACAAAACAATCAAATTTAAAAAAAAAAAATAAATAACTGGTGAGGATTGAACTCAGGATCATCAGGTTCAAAGACAAACGCGATAGGCTCTACACCAACAAGACATGTTAAATATCAGTGTTAAAAACAGGATAATTTATTTTTAATATTCTAATTATCATTTAAATATTAATGAAAATGAGTTTGAATATTAAATGTTCAATTAAAAGAATTAGATTAGTCTACATTTTCTTTTAAAATTTCTTTCTAATGAAAATAGATGTATGCAAAAAATAACTTTCCGTCTATATGCGTCAGTAATGTCAAACTGACAATTCATGGAAAACGTCAACTTTCCAGTTAGATTTGAATGTGCAAAAGCCTACTTCGAATAGTGATTGTAGAAAAAATATTTTTTTATATTATTAATTTTTGGAAAGATATTTTTTTCTGATTTTAAAAATATATAAGTTACCCTTACCTTATGCCGTTTATGAATTACTAAAAGTCAAACATCTTAGTTAAACTAGTTACAGAACAATTAAATATTCTATCATGAAGAATAAGAAAATTAAACGAAATATGCTTAGAAAAAAATATTACTGGTTTCCAAAATATAGTGTTAGATTCAAAAATTATTAACGGCTATAATTTTTTTATTTCTGAGTATAATTTTTCTAAATTCGGCAAACATTTTTGGTGTCATAAGATACACCTATTAGGAAAACAATCAGTTGAATAAACTTTGCCAGTGGCGTACGACATTGATAAGTAACACTTTCATCTCCTCTAAATTTTACGCCACTGCCCAAAAAAATATTTTGACTATATTTTTACGTTTTTTGAAGTTTTTTTAAATAAATCATATACTCTTGTCGGGAACTCATAAAGTGATGGATACACAAAGGTGAAAATTCATCCTTTTAATAAATTTATTAAGTTTTGATTTTTTTTATTAATGATGATTAGGGGTGGGAAATTTATAATGAATACATGGGGGAAGAAAGATTTAAATATAGTTTGGAAAAAATTGTCTAAAAAAAATTCTTTACATTCGTTGTCAGTAAGTTTGCCAAATCTTTCTGTATAAATAAGGCTATATGTCGATAACTAATGGAAATGGTAGTTTTTATTCTTGTAATGAAAAATATTAATAAAATATCAAGCATACATATCAGGTTCTGATTAAATAAAACTCATTTCTTTTATTAAAAAAAGTGCGTTATCGAACGCACAATAAAAGTGAAACAGTTGGAATGGGACTTCAAGTGGAAACTAGGGTGTCAAAACATTGAGATACTTCATTTTTATCAAATCACTCATCATATTTAAGAAGTTTCACTAAGTTATTTTAGTTTGTTTTAATTTACTTTAATTTATCTGAATTTATCTATCTTAATTAATCTTAATTTATCTTAATTTATCTTAATTTATTTTAATTTATCTAAAATCGATTTTTCAGATACTGCAAATTTGTTTTCAAGGAACTTTATTTAAAAATATACCACATACACAGGGTTGTTGAATACACATACAAAATGCATGATTTGAATTCAATAATCAAAATACACTGACTGAAAAAAAAAAAAGATTTAAACAACTAAATAATTGTCAAAGTTTGGTATTATTAAAGAATGCTTCTAATTTTCCATGGAATTTAATCTAAAATAATCTAATGTAAGCTATTTTAATGCAGTAACAAGAACAGTTTATTCTAATTTATATTTGATCACATTTAACAGATAATGGTTATCAAAGTCCTGTTTCATTTATCTCCTAAATTCAACAATTTCATTATTTATGTTTTGTGTATCTCTCAGTTCATTTATTTAAGCATTGCACTTCAACCGATATAAAAAATGTAACTATTGAGTACTTTATTAGTAACTTTGACACAGATTAGCAAATCATATTTCATATAATTTTTAAGTAGAGTGTAAAGATTTCAACATATGTTGATACTGTGATAAAGAGTGAGGTTAATGTATGAAATACTCAAATTATTTCGAAAATGGCATGCACAATATTTATGAAATTTGGTTTGGTGGGGGTTGTGTAATATGACCGATCTTCAAGTACTATTTCCGTTTTTCCGAATATATAGAAAACTTTGTTATTTTAAATAGATCACCCTATATATTTTGTGATTTTGTAATTGCTTAAGAAATACTCCCATAAAAATGATCTCTTAAAATTTGATTGTCTGTTAAATCAAATGTACTGAGCCTAAACAATTAGATACAACCTGGAAAAAAAATTATCAAATTTTTGTTACCTCTCTTTTGTACAATCTGAACAAAAGTGTCTCTCAACCAGCTATCATCTTTAATTACTTCCGCAACGGTCAGCTGTTTACCACTGAGGTTAACAACAGCATGAGATGCATCAGGAAACTGAGTCGAGGAGTGGTTGCCCCAAATAATAACGTTACTGACCTAAAAATTTAAAAATTACTGCAAAACTGTGAAAATAAAATTATTTTATCTATCGATTTTAAAAGAGCACTCACTTGTTCGACTGGGACTCCAATTTTGGCAGACACCTGAGCCTGAGCTCTGTTTTGATCTAATCTGGTCATAGCCGTAAAGTTCTCTTTGGGAATGGATGGAGCGTATTTTGAGCAAATAAGGGCATTGGTGTTAGCTGGGTTACCGACGACTAATACTTTAACATCTTTTTTGGCATATTTATCCAAAGCCTCGCCTTGTACTTTGAAGATTTTTACGTTAGCAGACAACAAGTCTTTGCGTTCCATACCTTAAATAAGTGTTTTTATAAAAAAAAATTATACCAACACGTGTAACAAAATAATTACCTTGTTTTCTGGGCATGGCGCCAACGAGGAAAGCAGCAGAGACGTCCTTGAAAGCTACAGCGGGATCAGCTGTGGGTATTACTTCTCTCAGAAGAGGAATGGCACAATCGGCAAGTTCCATCACAACACCCTGGAGGACATCCATCATTGGAGGGATGTCAAGAAGGTGTAAAATTAGGGGTTGCTCATAGCCAAACACGTCCCCTTTGGCGATCATGTAGAGGAGTGAGTAGGATATTTGACCAGCAGCGCCGGTTACAACAACACGGATTGGTTCAGGCTGGATATATAAAAAAACAACAAGAAATTGGAAATGCATAACCAAATTACAATTGCAACAACATAGTTTTAGCTTTTAGTAATATATTTAGATATTGTGTGACTGTGTCTGATTATTATATAGGGATTTTTATGAATAAGTTTAGAGTTTGGTGGAATAACAGTGCACATTGCAACTAAAGATATGGATAAGGCTTATAAAAATTATGTATCAAACAAAACAAAATAAAGAATTATATAAACAAATACGTAATATAGCTGTTAAAATTATTAGAAATGAAAAGAGCAAATATTATGACTCTCAAATTATGGAATATAATGAAGAAGAAATCTATTAAATTCTATTCAAATTGATTCAATTAATGAAGTCGTTGATACTGTTAATATAACAAATAAAAAGAATTTTGATGAGTTGTTAGTATTTCTAGAAAGTTATAAAATTAATTATTGTGATATAATAGATTTGACTGAATGTTTCCAATTAGAATATATTTCTCAATTTAACCTAGATGGCTTCACCACCCACTATAACAATGGTAACATTAACAGAAATGATGGTGTTGTAATTTTGGTCAGGTCAAATCTAAATGCAGAATTAAATATAGTTAAACTGGAATATTCTGATATTTGTGACACTAAAATAAATCTAAAAGTTAATCATCGGACCATTGGCTTTACAGATGTATACAGGTCTCCTCAAATCTCTGCACAATCATTTATAAGAGATTTAGAAAATTTCATACCAAATCACCTAAATAGAAATATTGAAATATTCATAGGGGATATTAATATTGATCTCTTAAATGTAACCAGTCAAGTAACTACTGATTACCAAGCAACTTTTTACTCCCATGGTTTCATGTCTTACATAAACACTATAACGAGGCCACAAAGTAAAACATGATTGGATCATATATTCTTAAAAAACAATATTAAGACTGAAAATCTATCGGTGAACTCTTATGTAATCAGCTATGATATGATTAATCATGATCCTATTATGATAAATATCTCACAATCTGCCAAAAACTACACAAATTCCTACAATACATATAAAACTATAACTAAAATCGATACTAATAAATTAAAACAAAAATTCGAAACTGTAAACTGGGAAAGTGTTTAAAAATATTAAAATTAAAATCCATAAAAAAATAAAGACATGGATAACAAATGGTTTAATTAATTCTATTAAAACTAGGGATAAACTTAAAAAAGATCTACAAAAAAACTATACTATTTATTAACAAAAAAAACTCACTATAAAACATTTAGAAATAATTTAAACAAACTAATATCAAAAACTAAAAATGACTATTATAACAATAAAATAAACCAAAACAACAATGATCTGAAAAAAACTTATCAATTAATCTCTGAAGCAACTAATGAAAATCATAAATAAATAATACCAATTTACAGATTGTTAACCAACATAATGAGGAATTTGAAAATGATAATTAAATGGCGAATTACCTTTAATGCATATAATTAATTGTATTTTTAATACAGGAATCGTACCTAAACAATTTAAAACTTCAATTATAACACCTATTTATAAAGCTGGTAATCCAAAATTAATAACTAACTATAGGACTATTAGTTTAATTAGTAATGTGGCCAAAATATTTGAGAAATGTGTGAAAGATAGACTGACAGATTTTTTAAAAACTAATTACTTACTTCCCAAGCACCAATATGGCTTTACTGAAGGTCTTAACTCAGGAGATGCTATGCATGAATTGATTTCATATGCTACTGATGAAATAAATACTGGTAACAAGTGTATAGCTATATTTCTAGATCTAGCAAAAGCATTTGACACGGTGTCACATCAGAAGCTCTTAAATGTTCTTGACAGAATGGAGTGAGGGGCATCGTGTTGAAGGTTTTTGAAAATTATTTGACACACAGACAACCTAAGGTAAAGGTAAGAGACAATGTGAGTAACCCTGAAAATATACAAATCGGAGTGCCTCAAGGGACTGTTCTGGGACCTATACTATTTAATTTATACATTAAGAGCTTAACTCAAATTGATATTTAAGGTAAGTTGTATCATATGCTGATGATACAGTGCTAGTCTTCAGTGATAAAGATTAGGAAGCCATCAAGACACATGCTATAACTGGAATGGAACATGTCAAAAACTGGCTGGATGTTTTTAAATTGTCATTGAATGTTAACAAAACAAACTACATTGCTTTTTCAAAGACAGTGGCTGATCAACCTCAATTTAGAAGCTTAACATGTCAAAATTTAGACACACAAGACAGAGAAACATCCAAATATTTAGGTGTAATTATAGACCAGCAATTAAAATGGGACTGTCATATAATATATACAGGGTGTACCAATAAAAACTCCCAGGCCGGATATTTTGGAAAGTAATAGAGATATTTTAATTCTGTAAAAGCCAGTTCACAGAACACTAAGAGAAATTTAGATATAAATTGATTTTAAATAGGTTAATTTGTTGATAGCGCTGCGCTGAATATTTTTTTTTTCGATGGGAGGATCTTTCTTGTGTAGCGCATCTTGTAAAAAATGCATTTTTAAGCAGATTTTGTTCCATGAACTAATTCGATAAATCTAGCCATTTTTGATATACAGAGTGGACTCACTCAAAACAGTTTCATCCTGTTTTTCAGCATTAATTGAATTTTAAGAAAAGGCTAAAACAGGTCGATTTTTATTCAAAATTAAAAACATTTTTTCAATACAGACATCTGTCATGTGTCAACCCCCTCCCCTGCACTTCTCCAACACCTTAATTTTAAATAGGTAAGGTACCATGTATGGTACATCATTGAAAAGGTAATTTAATGGGTCAGCACATACAGGTGTTCTCACCTAGGTGCTTGTTATTATATAATTGGTTTCCATTATTGTAACTTATTTATTATTGTAACTCATTGTAACTTATAACTATTAAACTATATAAACAAATACGTAAAATAGCTGTTAAAATTATTAGAAAAGAAAAGAGAAAATATTATGACTCTCAAATTAAGGAATATAATGAAGGAACTGTTACCTAAAAATTATAAACAAAATATCTTTGTAAAAATTGAAATAAATAAAAATTTAATAATAAAAGACATAATTGAAATGCCAGGTGCACTTAACACATATTATATTGATAGTATAATTGAATTAGCATATAATATAAATCAGAACGTTAATGATTTTCCCATTATTGTTAAAAATGATAACAAGTCTTAAAAGGTTTAATGAGTCACGAATATGTATGGTTTTTCGCCTAATTTCACGGCTGTAATCAGCTGTACTACGTTAACGAACAGGTATCTAGTACGGTTTTTAAGCTCAATCGATGAAGAGAAAAACTTTATAAACTAAATGGCTATCTTACTTTTATATGTCAAATTTTGGATTTGTATGGTTTTTGAACTCGCCGATTCAATTAATGAACTGTTTTTAAAAAACTGTTTCGAAAATATTGTTAATCCACTGAAAAATACAATAAATTCCTCGTTAGAGACTAACACTCCAGAAGACCTAAAAATTTCAATAATTACACCAATAGCTAAGATTGAGAATTCAAATAGGGTAGTGGACTTACGTCCTTTTAATATTTTATGTATAGTAGAGAAAGTATAGTATATAATTACCTAATTCAATATCTGAAAGACAATATGTTTATTAGTAATAAATGAGGCTTTTGGGATAAACACAGCTGCGATATGTTTTGAATGACTGGAAACAGAATATTGACAAGTTAATTACAGGTGCTCTTTTTAGACATACAAAGAGCATTTGAAACAGTAAATTAAATACCTGGGAGTAGTAGTAAACCATAATGTTGTTTTTTAAAGATCATGTAAACTATAAAGTTATTGATTTATTTTATATAACAGTATAATTTTGCCTCATTTCACTTATTGTGCTACCATTATGTAATAATAATAATAATAATAATGTTTATTTACCAGAAATATATACATTCAGATACAGTAGGAAATAAAATGTAAATAAACAAGAAATGTGTCACTGAATCTGCTCACTGTACAAAGTACAATGAGAGATTGTGTGTGACAAAAAATACGCAAAATAATAAATAAAACGTATAACTATAACAATACAATAGTAAGAATTTGAAAATATGAAGCAAAGACATTATTAATATAAATAAAAATTATATAAATACAATCTTATACACTTTTGATATTATATTAAGAAAAATATATTTACATTACAATATACCTCGGCATATCTCATACAACAAACATTACTTCTACATAGACGAAAAACATTTTAAAAATATTCAGTTTCTTTAACGTTTATAATATACTTTCCAATTATTTAATTTCTATTGTTTTTTATCCGATTATATTACGGAAAAAAGTGTTTTTGCTATAAATTTTTACATATTTTTTATATTTTTTGTTTTTATTTCTCGGAGCTCCGTTGGAATGCTATTAAAGATTTTTGGTCCCAAAAACCGATAGCTATTTTGTCCAAGTGATTTATTCATTCGTGGTACAAAATAATTGTCTCTGTTTCTTGTATCATATTGATGCAATTTCAGTTCATCTTGATTTTGAAATTGATGGGTGAGTGCTGCTTGATAGAATAACAGTTGTAAGTCAAATTTCTGGGTTTATTGATACATATTTTCAGTAAGATATCTTCTATTTATGTTGAGCATTTTTTTTAAAAAACTTTTTTGAATAATCTCGATTATTCCACAGTTGAGATGAGATTTGAAAAAGCTATGATACAAAATTATCTTCCATTTCTTTAAATTATAATGAGGCTGTGATGGAAATTAATTCCACACTGGCTCAAAATCACACATCTGAGATTTAAAAAGTATGAGAACAACAAGGAAGTCTCTGCTCTCTTTTCTAAATTCTTATACCTTAATTTATAGCCTTTTTCTTGTAGTTCTTGAGTTTTTAGGTATTTGTAGATTTGTTGCAGGTTCTTCTATTAATTTTGGAGGCTACATAATTGGTGACTATTTTTATAGGACTGTTAAGATTCGTGGAGGAACTATTATATATGTTAAACATTCATTGCCAGTCAAGAAAATCAGTTTGTTAAAAAATATCTTTGAAGAAGAACATTTTGAATGTAGTGGCATTTCATTTATTTAGAATAATGTAAAGTTTTATTTACTTAATGTTTACAAATCACCTAATGGAGATGTAGAATTGTTTCTAAGCAAACTTTCTAGTGTTTTAAATAAGATCTCAAATCCCAATGATATTTTAATAGTTTGTGGAGATTTTAATATTAATTTTATAACTGTCGTGATAAATTACTATTGTCTGATTTTATTGAAAGTTTTAACTTGTGTTGTCAAAATATGGAACCCATTAGAGTAGCTATTGACAAAAATGGTCGCATTACTAGATTCAAAATTGACTACTTCCTGACTAATTCTTCCTTCTCTTATCGGGAATCAGTTGTGGATTTAAATCTCTGCAGTCATTTTGGTCTTTTTATAGAGTTTGATAATATTCTGCAAGAGCACATTGTGAATAACAAGAAAAAAACATCATTTAGAAACCTTTCTTATGCCAACCTGCATAACCTGTCATTTGAATTGGCTAAGGAGGATTTCCAAATAATTTACGAATCACCTAACTATATTGATCAAACTTTTATAAACTTTCTAAATATTATTCTTTATTATTTAAACTTACCATGTCCTATTATAACAAAGAGTATTAATGACAAGGGCTCCTCTAATAAATGGATAAATGAGGAGATTCTATGGATGGGAGATGATTTAAAAGCGCTATTTTGGTTATCAAAGAATTCTTCTGATGCTGAAATTCTATCAAATTATAAATTACAAAAGAAAAAATATGCTCAAAAAATAAATCAAACTAAAAGGGCATTCTCTCAAGATAATTTAAAAAATAAAAATATTTGTCAGAAGCAAAAAATCATCTGGAATACTGTAAATATCCAAACAGGAAAATTTTTTTTACATAATGTGGAATTTCTTGAAGTTGCTAATCAAATTATATCTGGGAAAATTGATATTGCAAATACACTTGTGGATTATTTCTCATCCTTCGCTAGTAGTGCTATTAATAATCATTTTACTAATTTGGTATTCAATGATTAAACCACCATGTACGTCCAAAATACATTCCATTTTATCAGTGTTATTGATCATGATGTTGTTGAAGTCATTTCTTCACTAAAAAAACCAACTCTGTTGGTATTGACAGTATTTCCACAAAAGTTATAAAAACAATCTGTCCACATATTGCTCATGCTCTGGCACATATAATAAACACATCAATTGCCTTGGGTAAATTTCCAGCAGATCTAAAAATAGGGGTAGTAACACCAATCTTCAAAAAAGGAAACCAAAAATTACTTGAAAATTATAGGCCAATTACTGTTCCTACTGTATTTTGTAAGGGTTTTGAGAAATGTGTATACAAACACATGTTGTCATTTTTATTTAAATATAATATCATATCAGATCACCAACATGGTTTTCGTCCAGTTAGGTCAACTGAGAGTGCCACTACTGGCTTTTTCAATTACATATATGGTCAGTTGGATAAAAAGAGATTTGTGGGGGCGCTCTTTTTTGACCTCTCCAAAGCTTTTGACTGTATTGATCTGAATATAATTGAAAATAAATTATTTTCCAACATGGCTATCTTCATATCTCAACATTAGGAAAATTTGTGTTAACATTGAAGACTACCGATCTACTTTTAAAGATATTGATCGTGGTGTCCCTCAAGGGTCAATTCTAGGCCCACTAATTTTCTTGTTATATATAAATGATCTTCCATCACAGATAAAAGCAGATTATACTGTTATGTATGCTGATGATACCACATTGGCAGCTGATGCTGAATCTCCTGCAGAGCTTCTCTTAAAACTTAATAATTTAGCATATCAATTTACTGTATGGTTCAAAAGAAATTCCTTAATATTAAATACTAGCAAAAGTGTTGTTATGCAATTTTTTTCTAGAAATAGGATAACTGATAATATAACTGTAAAAGTTTTATCAGACATTTATTTCTCTCATATAACTAAGTTCCTAGGAGTTATGATTGACAGCAATATGAATTGGGATTCAAATGTCAATTTTATCTGTAAAAAGTTAAACAGCACTTACCATGCAATCCTACAAGTAAAAAATATTTTCAATACTAATCAACTTCTTCAGGCATACTATGCTCTTGTTTATTCTTATCTCTCTTATAACGTTATCCTGTGGGGAAACTGTACAAATGCTTTAAGAGTTTTTATTAATCAAAAAAGAATTATTAGACTAATTTTCAATTTAAAAACAAGAACTACATGTAGGGATCATTTTAAAGAATATGATATACTCACATTCCCAGCCATATACATTTTTTAAAAATCATTCATCATTTTCTAAAAATCAAGATAATCATAATTACCCCACTCAAAACAATGAAGCAATTCGTATTCCAAAACATTCATCAGCTCTATTTGAACTCAGCCCACACAAGTCTCTGGACTTACTATTTTTAATCATCTTCCATCCTCGATTAAAACAACCAATCCCCCTATAATATTTTTAAAACAAAATTAAAAACTATTTAATACATAATTGTGTGTACAGTATAGATGAGTACCTACCTCAATAATGCTATGTTGTTTATACCTGATTTATTTTAGTTATAGTTTTATTTATATACCTGACTTATCCTATATGACCTAAAATGACAAATAAATATTTATTATTATAAATGAAACTCGTGTGTGTGCCAAAAGCTATAACCACACACGAGTTTCATTTAATCTACAAACACCTAAAAACCCAAGAACTACAAAAAAAATAATATTACAATTCATTTTCTGTATGAAGATCCAAATGTAAATGCCTCAATAAACAGTGTTTGTTTGGCAAATTATATTTCTAGTGCTGACAACTCTATTAATGATAACTAAAATTCAATTTTGAAGTATTACTGGAAACTACTTCCAGGGTTCACAATGGCTCAACCTAGGTAAGAATATAGTTCAACAAATAAAGTAGGTGGCATAACAAAGTTTCCCTCATGAATAAATGCTAGAAATTAATATTTTGATCCTTTTAATAACATCTGAATATTGGACTTTTAAAAACTTTTATGACAGGTTCAAAGATTAGTACATGATTTATTTTTAAAAAATATCATGGTCATCTTTTTATACATTCTCGAAACATATTAACTTATGTTGTATATGCACTACTTATATATTTTTTTTGCAAACTTTATTTATAATTAAAATATAACAAATTTATAAAATAAATACACTACTATTCATAGGTATGTTGCAAATTAAATAATACCGAAATTCTCAGGCACTGCTTTTCAGTTTTTAAACATTAAAGACAATCATTTGTGCTGTTTACTTTAATTTCATTATGATTTCTTCATATTTTTCACACTATTGAATATACCTATTCTATTTTCCTAGAATTAATGATGATGTAATTCTATGATATAGATTAGCAGGTAAGTAAATAAGGACATACCTATCTAAAATAATATCTTTACTTTTCATTTTAAAGCTTTTTTAGAATAATTCAAGGATGAATGTTAAGGTGATCAATGTTAAGGCTATTTTTATTAAAGTTGACGCTTATTTAATTTACACTATTGCATGCCATAAATCTATTGAGATTATAAAACATGATTTAAACATATTGAAAGTAATAAAGTTGTTTCAATTAAACTATAATTTTATTAAAATTCATTATGTAATAACTAAAAACTAAAACTATATTAGTAACATTTCAATTTAATATTGAATGAAAGTAATACTCACCATGTCTGTAGGTTAAGGATTAGAGTAAGCCGAAATAATTATCAAAATATCCTACAGAAGAACACTGCCACTTTTAAATTATAAAATGGGAAATGATAAAAGTCGAATAGGACGTCCTTTGACCTCTAAAAGTCATGAAGAAATTTGACAGTTGACATTTTTAAAAACAACACCCACTTGACATTTGACGTTCAATGGGAAACGTTCCTTTTACCAGGGTCTTTTGGAGTGATATGGGGGTTTTGCTTTTTAAATGGTTCTTAAAAATGGTTCCTAAAATAAATTAATAATAATTTGATACACATACTTTGATTACTATACGAGGCAAGAGAGAGGTCCGACACGCCCAACATAGGGCGCGGCCATTTTGAACCCTGTGACACAGTTTACAGCTAAAGAATCAGATCGCTCACTCTGCGTCGGCACTTTTGATCTCAATGTTTCAGTTTATACACTGTGCAACTCGGATAATACAATATATGACAACCGCCTATAATAAAATAGCAGTCTTCTGCGTATCCTGAATTTGTATCCCTGGAGTGGATGTTATTTTGCAACTTTCAACTGGTCCGTGTGAGCTAACTGATTCTTTAGCAATAAACTGTGACTTCAAAAATATTATTCATTGACACCGACAGCAGCAAGCAAAATATCAGGTGCGTTTTAATCATCCGCTTCTGCTTCCGGAATTGTCGGTTTAGTCGTTTTAACTTAACCTGTCAGATTAAAACAAGAAAACCGACAATTCCGAAGCAGAAGCGGATGATTAAAACGCAACTATTAAAAATATTGCGCCAAGATGTAGGCAACACGTAATAAGGGTTCAAAATGGCGGAGTTTTCTATCTCCTTTTAAAAGGCACTCAGAAAGCTGCGCAGTGCGACCATTCTCCGTATAGTAAAAGAAAATCAAAGTATGTGAATTTGATATAATTTGGATGTAAATGTAAATCAAAAATAAAGAGTAGCACAAGATTGTGGGGTTAGGATGTATATATAGGTTAGCACCTTCGAGCTATGCTCGTAGGTTAGCACATCGGTACTCTCACTGAAATCTATACTGTTACAATGGAACGCTATTCCTAATAACAAAAAGTGATCCGTTTTGATTTCGCTCATTACGTCACTATAAGGTTAATACTCATGCGCAGTAAATAGCTTTCATAGCCGAGTACCAGCCTGAGGTACCAGCACCATTACGTAATTTATTTATTTATTTTATTTATTTGTCTTAAGTACACTACAGAAATATGAATTCCAAATGGCACAGTCTTAAAGCTAAAACAACAATTAAAGTATAATTATATATACATAAAAAAAAACCGAATATTGTCACGTCCAGTAAAATATTAAAAAATCATTATTAAAATTCATTAAAATAAATTATTATACTTTTAAATAAATCCTAGAATAAAATAATTATCTCCAATTGAAAATCTTAATAATCTCTTAAATGTAAATATATCCTTAAGTAAATAATATCGTATACATTTCATAACAAAAACATAGACGTTGAACTATTACCGACCTGCATTAATTGTGTCGAATTAAAGAAATAGCAAATTCAGCAAATAGTTGATAGGTATAAATTCGACACTGATTACTGTTACGAGGACAGTTCTCCTTTTACTGCACTGAGAGGTATCTAAAGTAATAGATACCTTTTAGTTTTTGGAGTAAGCGTCGTGACGTGCCACTAACGGGGATGTTTTGGTAAGGCCTTTTATATTGTATTATTATTATTATTATTATTATTATTATCTGTTATACATTTTTGAATATTAATTATTTATTGATTAATAAAATTGTTATATTTCAACTCGACTTTTATTTCATAAAGAAAGGTAGCACGAATTAATAACATTAAATAATTCTTTCGACCCATAGAAAAGGGGGCGTGACATATGGTGGAGGCGCCTGGCAAAAAATCTCGAAGGATTAATTCTTCCTAATTAACTCCTTATTGTACCTTTAATTAAAATTGAAAAATCACACAGCTACCTCACTTTATGAAATTAAATTTTCCTAAAAGGTTCAATTTCAAAATTTTTTTTTTAAAGGCAGAGTTACAAATATTTTGTTTTGTAACTTGTATTAATTTTAATATTTTCTTTTGCCTAAATACAAGGGTTGTACGATAGTTAACGCAGGTGGTTTTACCGTATTTTTGCTTCTTAAAACTTATCTCTTGGTGATCAGACCCTGAGATAAGGTTTCCAATTTTCCTAGTTAAACCTTCGGTGTGATCAGACATAGAGGGAATAAATAAACGCCAATCGCTACGAATATCTTTTCTTCTGTGTGATCAGACATTGAAGCGAAGGTATTCCGGGGGCACAACACCGTTACGTATCCCTTGTGTGATCAGACATTAGGGATAGGTGACAAACACCCCGCTGATAGAGATTGAGTGTGTTAAAAAAAATCAGTTAAAATCCCAATCGGTAAGAAAATTAGTTTCTTCTGTGTGACCAGACATTGAATAAACAGATTTTCAAGGCCCAGATACCGACCAACACCTCTTGTGTGATCAGACATTAGGGGTAGTGGACGGATGTCTCGCCGCTGAAGATTGGGATAATTTAATCGCGAATTGCAACATCTGTGAAAACTGTTAAACAACTCATTCAGATCAATTCAAGAGAATTTTAATTAAATTAATCAAAATGTAGAATATTAGGGGCATTAATTAATTATAAGAAAATGGTTACATAAGAATAATGCGAAGGAAGCGGCCCATGCAATCCGGGCTCTTCCTCGCAATGATCTGTGGATCTGACTTAGAACTATTTCCAATGAAGTAATCTGTAGCATAGGTCTTAAATTAGTAATTTATTATGGTTTTTATTTATATACATAAACGATCTAGATTTTTTCTTTTTATTTAGCCATATGTATTTCACGTACTAACATTATTTTTGTGCAGGATAATAGTATTTTATGGTATCATCGCTAATAACTTTAACAAGGAACAAAGGTATCTGCTAGTATGTTTTGCATACCATTATCTGAAAAAGTAGCTTACGTTGCTGCTATCTCAATAATCTGCAAGTCTAGGTGGAGCGAGTTAGATGCAAACCTCAGTCAAACCACCCAGGTAACTACTCAAAGAAATAAGCTACAAAAGGGTTCAAAGTCTCTCCAACCGAAAGGCACAACAGTCACCCCCACAAGCACAGCTCAACCCACTGGAAGTTCCAACTAGAGACGAACGAAATTGTCTACAAATGAATCACAACAGACGCCTGATAGTGGAAGTGGAAAGTAACAAACTGCAAGAATTAACTTCAGGACAGAGTCTGCCATGCCTCATTAAAACTGAGGAAAATTAAGTCGCAAGTAGTGTAGGAATGAATATGTGTGAATGTTGATATGAATGCTAGAGAACGCACTAGGTACATTTTTTTTTTATAAGTAAAAAGTATTTTTTCGTTAATCACAATCAAGGAGAGGAGAGGTTGGAAGAATGCACGTATGTAGCTGAAATCTCCCCTTGCCTTTATACAGTGCAGCAATAAATAATAAAAAAATTTAATTATGGGTTCCCAACAAAATACGATAAAGTATAAGTAAAACTTTTTTGGTACCCAAAAGGCACAAAATGGTGCAAATTAGTCTCTTAAGGAGAAATGTAGATGAGTGTATGCCTACATAATAAAATAAAATTTTCGGTACACAACAAAGTAGTTTGGTACCTAAAAGGCACAAAATGGTGCAAATAAGTCTCTTAAGGAGAAATGTCATAAATATAACGAATAAATAAAAGGAGATTGGTACCCAAAGGGCACAAAAAAAAGGTGCGATTAAAATGCATATAATTGAAAAAAAAAATGCATTTGTGGAATAGTATTGATTTTATTAGAAATATTGATATAAAAGGTATTGTGATTTAAGAAAAAAAAATTTTGTTTTCGAAAAAATACACCATAACAAGGTATATAAACTAGATATTAAACAAGTAAAATTAAACCTAGTGAAGCATATCAACAATAACTAACTACTAAGATTCAACTTACTAAAATATTTTTTTTTATTTTCAACTACAAAATAAATATATAAGACAATTCGTTCAAAGAATTTTATCATTGGGTGGGAAAATTTAATTTTCTAATTTAATTATTATTATTTTTAAAGCTAGAATTCAATAAATGGGTGGAAAAGGCTGAATTTTCAGTTTAAATTGGTTTCCTCTCGTTGTAAAGTCAAGGGCAAATTGCTTAAATAACCCGGAAAATTGTAATATAAAAACTATAGATTTGTAAAGGATTTGCCCTTGTCCAAATTAATTTTAAGTCAAATAATTTAGGATAAAATTTCATATACCTTTAATTTTGTTTTTTTTTTTGCATATGAAAACACACCCACGAGCCAAGCACTCCTCCAGTTCAAGGACCCAATCCAGCCTCAGTCACGATCATCCTTGAAGTTAGCCCTAAGAGACAGGAACCAACCGGATCTCAGTAATGACATTGCCAGTAGTCATTCCAATACTTTCCCAATGGATGACTCTTGATGCCATCAGAATGGAGTACTTTCTTAGGATAAGAAAAAAGGAAGGATTGGGGTAGCAGTCAAAACTACTCAGCTAAAACCTTCTTATGCATGAAATCTGAACGTTCCGGAGATGACAATCTACTTCACAGCAGAACAAGTAAGAGTCAGCAGCACAGTGAATACTGGCCGATTACCTGCAAACCCTATCGGTCAAGGCGAGTTCCTATTTCCAATATGTGTCGGTGCAACCGACCGATGATATCCTACATTTATCTTTTCGACGATCCTATCAATCAATGCATATACAACTGAGAAAAGCGTCAATAAAACCAAGGCCCTCGGGGAATCCATTGAACTACTGAACCACGCACAGCAGCCTTTAACCAAGCCGCTGCTGCAATCAGACGATCCAAGTTCCAAGTCTCCAGATTGCTAAGATGAAATCGCAAGCAGAAGAAAAGACTGAACCAGGCGCTGGATGAGAAAAAAGAGACTGTATTTGTGTTCGGAGTGTTTGACTGTCAGTGATACGGGACTATTTCGTGTGTGCGAAAGTTGTTTTCTCTAAAGGTATAAAATTGTACACATTCATGTTTCTTTAATTGTTTTTCTTCTCTCAATTTAAATTTTTTTTTGTCATTAATGTTTGTATATTT